GAGGATGAAGTCAACCCATACAACAAGGCAGAGCCTCAGAGAACCAGGGTCAGACTGTGACCTGACACCTGTTGCAGGTAAAATGTTGTGTCTCCTCATGGTTGCTATCAGCCAGCACAGAGTCTCAGATAGTCAAAGCCAAGGCTGTTACCCAATGCCTATATGTGAAATAATCCAGATCTTCATTGTTATTATCGTATTAGCTAATTTGACTTGGGGCTTTCTGTTACTTGGTACTAAAGCGCCCTCTGATAGAGGTGCCCCCCAGTGTGCCTGTCAGCGTGCCCACCACTGCACCAAGTGGCTAGAACCATCTCCCAGCTCACGACAACAGGTGTGGAGGGTGGGAGGCAAGATGGCTATGTGGGGCCTRATGACCAGTAAGGGTGACTGAAATGTTTCACAGTCACCCAGCCTTGGCCTTGCAGGATGGAGCACATAAGGATGGAGACACACTTGCCTTTGGAGGGTTGGGAATCATAGAAAGCAAATGACTTGCCTGTTTGGCCTTCTCGCCTGGTTGTCCTCATCAAAGTTGACTACTTTCTAGAAGCTGATCTGCAACACACTCCGGATACTGCTTTGGCCCAACTTCCTTGTTAGGTGATCTTGGGAAAAGGCCTAGAGATGGTAGGACCCCAGGTCCTGGAGTGCCCCCGTGTGGCTGGATTTGGGGACAGTCGGCGGGTAAGGAAAGACTTTCTCTGGCAATCATTAGCAGAGGTGCAGCTGGGGGCCATTTTGTCAAGAAGTGCTCATTTGAAAAACAACAACAAAACTCACACAGGCGCCTGCCAGTCACCCCCATGATGAAATGCAACCAAGGAAGCAATTAAATTCAATTAGGGGCATTTGGCTTTAAATTAGATAATGCATTCAGAAAACAGTCTGTAAACTGTAATGTGTTCCCCTTACTCCTGTGAAATTGCCTGGGCTGCTGCTTCTGCCTTTGCCAATTAGAGGCCTGGGGATGGAGAGCAAAGAGGGCAGCAGAGGCTAAAGAGTCACACTCCCCAGAAAAACCAATTTTTGCTAAGGGCTGGACCCTGATGGAGCAGGGAGGTTGGGCCTGGGCTGCAGAGCTGCCTTACCCATGTGCAGAATCTGCTGTTCATAATTTCTTTTCTTCCTAACGCAGCCTGTAATTTCCAGGGGGCCAGTGCCTCTTCATTTTCACTGATAGAGCAAACAAAATCTTGACCACGGAGAAGCCTAATTCTACTCACCGTGCAAAATTGCCTTCTTAAAAGGCTTAAAGGGGGCATTGAGAGCATGGTGAAAGCCAAGCCCCCCAACCGCACGTGGCTGCAAAGCGCCCCTCACCCGCCCCCAGTGTGAGCAAGTTAGACTGGCACATTTCCCTCAGGGCAGTAGGAGAGGTGACGTTGTGTTYTAAGGCTTCAGATGAAGCTGGGACTATCTGACAGAAGAAATGACCCTGTCAAATCCTGGCTGCACAGATCTGCTCTTTTGCCAGCTCTTTGAGAAGGATCCAGAGGGACATGTTCTGGCCTCTTGGAATCTAATGGGACCTCAGCACATCTGGACTCCTTGCAAACAGTAAGGGCAGCCGAGAGAGAGAGAGAGAGAGAGAGAGAGAGAGAGAGAGAGAGAGAGAGAGAGAGAGAGAGGAGAGAGAGAGAGAGAGAGAGAGAGAGGGGGGGGGGGAGCCTCTGTGGAAGAGACAGACAGACAGACAGACAGACAGTGCTTACATCCCTGACAACATGCTTGAAGAAAAGGGGTACAACCAACCAACTTCCCTGCTCTCTTTTCTCCCCTCCGCTGCAGCTCCTGGCGGGTTGCTTGTTCCCCAAGGTGGTGGATTCAAAGGGGCCTCCTGGGCTGCTGGGAACAGCTGCTTTTTTGAATAATTCTTCTATGGATATCAGTCAAAAGTCACCGTTAGCTGGAACTGGAAAGCAGAGCGTGTGTGTGTGTGTGTGTGTGTGTGTGTGTGTGTGCATGTATGTGTGTGTGCATGTGAGAGTGTGACGCGTTTCTGTGGGTGTGCGCGCATGGTGGCAGCCATTTCAGGTCACCAGCGCCGTTCCTGGAAAGGCCACATCTTCTTGGCATGGGAGAAGATACACTTCCCTGTGCACCTAAAAATAAACCAGTACAGAAGTCAATGAATCACCCTCATCGAGAGGCACCTTTGCCCTCCCGCGGCCTGAGGCCCTGTTTCCCGGAGGGCAGGTTGCAGTGACGAGCTGTGGCCACTTGGGCTCTGCCTCTGTCCCCTTTGGGGACACAGCTGGGCTGGGCATTGGTGGAATCGGTCCCTCCCTGAATCCTAATCCTTCTGTGTCCTCAGGGCTCTCCTGAGCTCCCCTGCAGAATTTCTGCCCTTTTGTACCCTAGGAGTGGAGATTAGTGTTGTTGTAAATGCGCCAGGAATGGGGATGCAACTGAAGACAAGAAGCGAGTGCGGGGAGCCAGAGACCAGGACAGGACACACACAACAGAGTGGAGTGGAAACTCGATCTTTCCACAACAGCTGGATTTAGGGTGCCCCAGCAAGGCATTTTTTGAGTTCTCCATGGTTTACATGTTCTTGTCTTAAAWWTTTTTTTTTTTCATTAAAAGATTTTTCTTTTCTTTGGCCCTGGAGGAGAGCACACCAGTTATAAAAAAAACAAAAACAAAAACAAAAACCATCTGCCATGCTTCATGGAGTCAAAGAATGCTTCCCCCCCCCCCCCGTTTTGTTTTGTTTTGTTTCTGGGAGGTATAGAGGGAGGGTCAGTCTGCATCAGTGACCCAGCCTGGCCACTCACTCTTCCCGTCCCCACCTCCTGCTGGGGACATTTCTCATCTAGGCAAAAAGCCTCCTGTGCCCAGCGAGGTGAAACTTGCAAATGATACTGTCACCTTCCTCAATGGACAGCCGCCAGCAGCTCACCAAAGGTCACAGCAGGCAAACCCCCAGGGGCTTGGGGACAAAGGAGCCGTCAGCTGCCTGATTTCCGGGATCCATCCCCTGTTCTCAGATGGCCACAGCAGAGGGACGGTCTCCCCACAGGCTTCCCGGAGGGGTCCTTCCTGCTTTGTGGAAGCAGCAGTCAGACTGGGGTGGCCCCAGAGCTCTCAACAGCATGAAGTGAGGCACCAGTCATCTCCAGGTCTGGTCAGGACCGAAGAAACCAATCCAGCTTGAAGCAGGCGGCCTCTGGTCTCTCCTTGCACCTAGAGTCTCGATGGGCGCTGGCAGGTCCCACAGCAAACCCTCCACTCAAGTTCGGGTGACGGGAGAGATGGGACTTGGGGACATGTCTCAAGAAGCCATCTTGCCAAAGGCCGTGGCCCCATGCTGTGGTCCATGTAGGGAGACTGTGTTCAAGGCTCAGTTCTGATCAGTGTGGGGTGGATCTGGAGAGCAGGCAGTGCGTGTGGGTCTGTGTGCACCATGTATGCTCCACCTCTACACTTTTCTGTTTGTAAACATGAGTGTGCAAGTGTACAGAGGTGGGCATAAATACACTTCTGGACATACGCGTGTACCTGCCGTGGACACTGCCTACGCACACATCCTCCGGTTGCTTAGGGTCCCAAGCTCTCAGATGGATGGGAGCAGCTCGCTGACCCTGCCACTTCCCAGGACAGCTGTGGCTCACTTCCAGGGGCCCAGGGCTGGCCTCTTGCCTCAGGCTGGAATGAATCGTGTAGTGCAATTCGCAGGCCAACAGAGACCCCCTTTCAATATATCACAAGCATTTGAATCCCTGTCTTGAGCTCTGCTCTCAGCATCCTGGCCTAAGACAGCATTGTATTAGCACTATGCATATGCTAATACACAGGCACACACATGTGTGCACGCACGTGTGTGCTCTCCGAGCGCACCCACACATGAGGAAATCCAGGAGGATTGGAGGGGAGAGAATTATCTTCCAAAGATTCCAAAAGGATCTTCCAAAGAGGAAGAGCATTGATTTTTTTCACTGGGGAAGGTCAAGCCATGTCAAACAGAATAGGAGCACCTTGCTTTAAAAGTTGAACATCAAAGGATACTTTAGAAATAAATGAATTTTTTATTAAATCAGAAAAAGAAAGATACAGTATACATGACTGTCAGTCAATCCTATGCTGCTGTGAATTACATTGTAACAGACTCATCGCCCTATTTAGTCCTCTCTACAAGGGTTAAAAAAAAAAAAACTTCAGGTATTTGAGTAACATTCTGTAAATTTTTATTAACTGGGGTTATGGGGAGGGTTTTATGAGAGCACATCCTGAGAACATTAGGAAATTACAGACAGACTTGAGATAAGCGTCAGACGGAACAGATGAAGCAAGCCCCCCAGCCATCTGAGAGACATTAATAATGTAAGCTTCGCGAGACCAGATCCTTGTTAGGGATGCGGGATGCAGAATAAAAAGGGGAGACCTTGGCGCCCCCTTGTGTTGCAAGACAAACGTGCAACCTCCTGTATTGTATTCTTGTTTTCTGAAGCTGTGATCCTTTTCCTTGTCCCTGAGCCTAAAGAACAATTGTCCCAAATCGTTTCAAGCCCTCTCCAGTCAATCGTTTCCCTCCTGTCAATAACTCTCAAGGGCCCTATTTGAAAACCTGCTCTTATTCATTCCTTTCTCATACCCCACACATTCCATTTCAGGAAATTGGCAACYGCCCAACACAGAGCCCCGTGCTCTCCCTCCTTCAAGTGTGAACTTAAACAAACGGATCTTCCCCCTCCCCTCTTCAAACTTAGAGGAGGAGCATGCATTTGTTATCCATCTTTCATAGCTTAACACAAAGGCATCCCCCCACCTCCTTCCTCCCCGGCTCAGCAGTCAACTCTCTGGACCTAAGGATTCAACCTGCGGACCCATGCTTACAGTTATTTGCTAGGAAAGACTGGACCAGAGAGATAAATAATACACCTCAATATACAACAGCTCAGGCTTAATTTGTAGGCAAAATTTCATTTGATGGCCATGAGAAGAAAAAAAAATATATACAGAGTGTGTTTAGGGAGGAGATGGAGTAGGGAGAAAACATCCTGGTAGTGGGAGACCCTGGTGGGGACTGTGGTGATGTTTACTTGGATTTGCCAACTGGTCCGATGGATACCGGGTCTGTCTGCACTTGAGCATCTGACATCCGCTTTGGTCCCTGGGAAAAAAAAAACAAAGAAGGGGTAGCCCATTGAAGATGGGTAATAGCAACAGCAAAAATCACCTTTTGGTGAGCACTTATTCCGTGCTAGGTGCCATGCTAAGTCAATGTTTCTTAGACCTGAGTGTTGGATAGGAGAACGGTCTCCMATCAGATGTCCAGATTCACTGCCCAGCTATATTACTTTCTAGCTTTGCCAGATCTTGGACAAATTACAAATTTATCATTACAAATGATAAAACTATTCCCAGAGGCTGGTTCCCAACACAAAGCGAGTTTATACTTATAATGCAGTTAGAACAGTCCCTGGGGTGTACACCCCACACTTCAGCTGTCCCTCCGCAATCCCTGTCTTATTCGCTCATAAGCCAACCCTGTTTTATTTTATCGGAAGTGAGCTTCTCATCTGTCTTGTTAGTCTCACACCTGCCTCCTGACAGGGTGCAAGCTCCATGGATTCTGTCTGCTGTGTCCTCGKTGCCTTGCAAGGACCTGGCACACCGTGGCTGCTCCTGAAGGGTGAAGGCTGAGGGCACCTGCCATTGCCACTGTGGTTATTGTTGTTCTACCCGTTCTGTCCAGTAGAACTTATGAAACTGTCCCTTTCCTTCTGTAATGATATAAGCGTGGACCAACACGTGACCAGGTCACATTAGCACCACCCAAACCAACATATCGCATGGGTTCATTGCCCCCACCCCACCTTGTCCCCCTTACAGTTAAGCCTCCCCAGTCGAGACTGACCCCAGACCCTGGCAACCACTGATCTGTTTCCTATTCCAGAGTTGTGCCTCTTCCAGAATGTCATGTCAAGGAATGGTGAAGTACGCAGCCTTTGAACCTGGCTTCTTTTACATGTCGTGATGGGTCTGAGGTTCACACAGGCTGGGCATGGTCAGAGGCACCAGCATTGCTGGTCCAGAGTAGAGCAGTAGGGTTGGTGGAGTATACTGGAGTGCATGAGTGGTAAAGTATGTGGATAATAAGTACAGAATAGTGCAATGTGGCGAAGCATGCATGGTATACAGAGRTGGGGGCAGGTAGTGTAATTCTGGGACAGAGCAACATTGGTGGTTGGTGTAGGTTATATGGTAAATATGGAAGATAATTAGTATGCATGGAATATATACATAGTATAGCCTACTGTACTAAACATAATACATACAGCATAGTATCAGAGCACATTATATAAACTACAGTATTGCCTTATATATGTAGYATAGGGTAACATACATAGTGCAGGATAATGTTGGTTAGGGTAATAAAATATACATCCTTGGTGCACATGATATAGCCTGTGTGCACAGYGCCGTGTGGTATAATGTGGTCTACATGGTATAACAGAGGATCGTATAAGCCATAGCCAGCATATATAACTCTAAGGACACTGTATACCCTCTCATTTCATTTTCATGCTGACCCTATGACGTCAGGACTATTAGCCTCATTAAAGAGGTACCTGCTGCTCGAGGTGCCGACTTGACCCTGGCTGCACAGCCACTGAGACGGAGAGCTAGGTTCAAACCCAGGAGCCAGCTGCACCCGGTGCACCTCCCTGGTGTCCTGGTGTGCACACGCTTCTCTGCCAACGCTTCCTCCTTGGGAGTCCCCTGACCTCAGTCCCAATGGGCTAAACACAGCAAACTTAGGCGGCCCAGTGGACTTTCACAAGAAATGCTCTCTCTTATTTTAACATTGAATCTGACATTTGAAAATCCAGTGCTTTCATGTACATGGCTGCTGGTGGCACTCTGTTTAAACAGCACTTGCTCTTCAGGTTGCAAAGACCCCCCTCCTTCCCCGGGGCCCACTCCTTCCTGCACCGTCTCTTTTGCCGCTTGGGGTTGGACTCTGGAGGTCGGAGTCACGTATGTGTCGCTTTGTGTGTCAGGAGTGCGCTTCACAGTTAATAGTGCCAAAGCCACTCTCTCTTCTGTTCTCTTACCAATGTGGTGAGGTGGGCAGCGACCACTACCCATTTTACAGATGAGGCAAGTGAATCTCCAAGAAGACCCAGGACTGCACTGTGCCAGATGGTCAGGCCGCCCTGACCTGAAGCCTGGGCCTCGGCTCACCCCTCCCCGGCCCCTTCCTGCTCACTCTCCACTCCTTCTAGTCCCTGTCCCAAGCTCCTTGTGGTGCAGAGCTGATGGGTGTAAGCCTCAGGCCATGCCCAGTGGGAGACCGTCTTCCCTGGGCAAGTCGCCCGCRGACCATCTGCTACACCTGCAGATCACAGCGCACACAGTTCCAGAGCTTTGGGGACCTGTGAGTAGGAGAAAGGTGAGGAGGACAGGAAGTTGGGGGGGCTTGAGGGAAGTGGGACCCAATCTCCACCGGCCAGGGTAGCTCACTTTTATCAGGTGTGTGTGTGTGTGTGTGTGTGTGTGCGCGCGCGTGCACGTGCGAGTCCCTTTGCATAAAAAGAAGAGAAAATCCAAGCCCCAGGACTTCCTTCCAGGTCCTTCCTGACCTGTCAGCATCAGCCAGGCAGCTCTGGGTGGGAACCCCAGCAGCTGGAGGGGGAAGGAGGAGATGAGGACTGAGAGAGGTGGGTGGCCGAGGAGGGCCTGGTGGACACGCGGTCAGAGGCAGGAGTTGATTTCCTGTGGGCGACGGGCACTGCAAGGCACCCTCCTGGTGCCAGTGCTGGCACCACCACTACCTTCTCGGGAAGGGGCTGGGCAACCACAGGAATGTGCCAGCTGGAAGTTCCTGGGGGTCCGATCTCTGGAGAGTGTCAGAAACCCCTCCCTCCTGCCTCCACCATGGCTGCAGGTCTCCTGGCAGTGGCCGGAAGCAGGACCCGGGGTCTGGGAGGCAGGAACTGAGTCCCGCCTCCTCTCTGCCTCTAGACGCCGTGGGATGCCCAGGAGAGGACACCACTTCTGGCCGACTCATCCAAGAYGTGGGAATAAGTACTCCCACCGGGAGGGCTTGATGTCCGTAAGAAGCTGGTCCCAGAGCAGGGACCAGTGACTACAACTGTAATTAGTGTCTTAAAYGCATCCACCCCGTCACCTCTGCGGACATCACCAGGCTAAACCGTCACCAGCCTCCAGGCTCACAAGGACACGCTCTACCGGGGCCTCTATCTCTGTGGTTGCCCTTGACAGCCTCTTCTGGGCCTCAGCCATGCAGCCTTTACAGCCAGGACGGGATCCCACTCCTCCTGCTCAACTCTGCGACTAGCTTCCCAGTTTACCCAGGGCCCTGGCCACATCCTCTCCCTGCCCAGRGCTCCTGTCTCACCTCCTGTTATCCACTGTGTCCCCGGCCACTCAGGCCTCTGTCTCCTCTTCAAACACCCTGGACTCCCCCAGCTCGACCCCTCCCTGGGGCCTTATGCCAAGGCTGCTTCTCCAGGAAGTGCCCTGCTGGTCTGCTGTCTGACACCTTGAACCCTCTGCTATCACCTGAGACATTTTCTCTGCTGGGACATTTCTGGATCCATTTCAAAGTAGCAACACCCCTCCCCACACCCAGGCAAGCACTCCCACGCACCCTGCTCATTTCCCTCAGTGACCTCACATACTAATTCCTCCTCTTCTTCTTTTTTTTGACAGGGGCTTGAACCCAGGGGTGCTCTACCACTGAGCTACATCCCCAACCTTTTTATTTCTTATTTTAGGACAGGGCCTTGCTGAGTTGCTGAGTCTGGCCTTGAACTTGCCATCCTCCTGCTTCAGCCTCCGGAGCCGCTAACATTACAGGTATGTGTCACCACTTGGCCCACACTTACATTCTCGTCTGCTAATTTAGTTTACCAATTTTGTTTGTTAATTTGTAGAACAATGATGGAAGAAGAAAGGAAGGGAGAGAGGGAATATCTTCGACATCTAGAGATCAGTGGGCAGGAAGAGGAGGGGGCCAGGGCCCTGGGTAACCCGGGAAGCTAGTCACAGGGAGAAAGAAAGGAAGGAATCTGAATTATTTCAAAGAGTAAATCAAACCATAAAGAATACCAGGCCTCAGTGTCTCCATCCAGAAGTGGACTCTTTAAAACATGCAAGTAGAACCCCTAAGTGCGGCTGAAGTTGAGTACAACATTCCATTAAAGGGTAACAAAGTAACTTATTTGATTCTTGGGCACAATATTTTAACATCTATTATATTTTCTTCTTTCTGCTCATCCCTCTGTTTACTGGGTGCATGTTGTGTGCATGGTCCTATTCTGGGTGAGTGGGAACCAGCCGTGACCCCAAAAGATGAAGCCCTATGGTTGGGATCTGAGGTCCAATGGTGGAGGGGGTACTTCCATGTTGTGGGGAGATTGAAATAAGCAAATCTAAAATACCTTCTCCTCAGTCTGCCGAAAATTGCAACCAATACAAGGGAATTCTGCATCTGGCAGCCATTGCTCCCACAATTGGGGAGATTGAACTGGGCATTTATATCCTGTTAAATTAAATAAACAGGAGGCTTTTAGCCTGAGGCTATCTCTTTACTTTAAGTTCTATGTGACAAGCTACAACCTAGCTTACTTCAAGAACAAACCAATACCTACTCAGGAGTGTAATTTATAAATAACGAATACCTGGGTTTCTGGCAATCACAGCTGAGCGTGGCCAATTGCAGGCTGCCAGCTAGTCAGACCCCACCCAAGGAAGGCCAGTGCCTCCTCAGGCCATGCTGAACAGGACAAGGCATCCCTGTGGCCAACAGGCCAAAGGCGATGTCCCCCTCTGTCCCTGGCACAGGTCTGTGAGGTCACTGCTCACGCTGCAGGGTGGAGCTCTCTGAACCTCTTCTGGTTCTGAATCCTGCCTGATTCTTGGATTGTTCTTTGCTCAAATCAACTCTCTTAAATTTAATTTATGTAGTTTTTCTGTTAACACCCCCACAACGGTACCACGTAAATGGGATAAGCTGATAATGCATTCATGCCCCATACATTCCTTCAATAAATATGTGCCCAGAGCATCGGCCACCTGCAAGACATTGGCCCCTCCAGAGGATGAGCTGGAGGAGGAGGAAGGCTCCAATATGCAGCTTTGCTCATTTGACCCGTTGGTAGTTGGACCATCGGGTTTTGCAGTTCAAAATCCAGCACCATGGACCAAGGAACCCAGGGCAGGGAATCACATTTAGAATGTGGGAAGGGACTGGGCAGATGGCCTGGGGGAGGGAGTGAGGGAGGACCCTGGATGTGGGCTGCAGGGAGAAGGGAAGGGAGAAGGGATCCCCCTGTGGTGACTTCTACTACTGAACTCCTGCTTCGTGCTGGGCACTGGGCCCAGGAGTTTAAATAGTCATTCAGTTCCCACAGGAGCATCAAGACCATGGCTGCAATCATGAGCTCAGTTTTACAGGTGGATACCTGAGCCTCAGAGGGGGCGGGCAGTTAAACTGAGGTCACGCTCAGGACCTAGGAGGAAGGGGCTTCAGCCAAGCCTCTGGCACTGACGTCCAGCACAGACTCTCAGCTAATCCCTCTTCTGTCCACTATCCTGTGCTATTGGGTTAGAACAGGGCTCCTCCACCTTGGCCCTGTGGATGCTCTGGGCTGGTCACTTCTTTGTTGTGGGTACTATCCTGTGCCCTGTAGTTCACTTAGCCATACCCCTGTCTCTACTGACATCTCAAGAAGACTTACTCCCAGCTATGACTGTCAAAAACCTGTTTCTGTACACTGCCAAACGTCCCCCGGAGGACAATATCATTCCTGGTTAAGGACCCTTGGATTAGCCCCCCTCCCCTGAGCCAGGGTAAGGAGAGAGCGCAGATTGCATTTTGGATCTCTGGCCAAAGACACTAGGACCCACAGAGAAAGAGAGGAAGCAGGCTGTGGACTCAGAAGCACCAGGGCCACCCCCCACCCTGCAGACCATGTTCCACCCAATGCCACAGCACTGCAGTGACCAGTTCCACCAGAACACTGCACAGAAAAAGGAGACGGTTTGGAAATCACTGAGGAAAGTGGGACTAGCGTTTGCACTTCTCCCTGAGGAGCGGGAGCCCAGAATGGAGACAAACGCTCCAACAGGACCACCCAGGGGCCAACAATCTGCATGCAGCCCCTTGTTTTGATGGATACCCTCTTTTCTTCAAGGGAAGGGCTTTTCTCCTGAGGAGCTGGGGAGAGCTGGGCTTCCGGCCAGGCTTTCACATTGCCAAGCAGCCTCAAGTCTGGGTTCTTAACACCGCCTTCAACTGGGGTTCCACATACACACTCGAGGACAGAGACGCGGGATAGCAAGACGATGACATTTACCACAGAACCTTAAACTTAGGGCCTGAAATCTGTGTTTCTAACAAGCTCCCCGGAGATGCTGCTGGGAGCCACATGCAGGGCAGGGGGAGAGAGAGTGCCCACTGACCTCCTCGCCAGAGCTCACTGATGCCCCCTGGTATCTACGGAATGAAACGGTTATGAATGCATAAAGGGTCAGCACCTGTGCACCTGTGGATCCCTCCATCTAGAACACGCCGTGCCTTGGCCTCCCCTGGCCTGCTTTCCAGGCTAAGGTGAGGTCCTGCCTGAGACGGAATCTGCTCTGCAAGGCCTCCCTGTCCCTCCTCTCAAACCCAAGGCCAGACTCAGCCCCATTCAGCCTTCCTTCACGAGCCTCCTTCCCCTCTCCCACCTCCCCGTGCTCTCAGCACCTGGCGACCCTCTCCATCCAGCACCTGACCATGAACCCGGAAATACCTATGGGCTTGTCTCTTTCCTGCTCCCAAAGCCCAGCCAGCCCTCCCCTTCAGAGGTATGGAAACCGCATCCCTTGCCTGAGAGCTCCGAAAGAAGAGGCGAAAAATCCACCTACCAGGCCCCTAAGGAAGCCCCCCAGGGACTGTCGCGGTTTCTCCAGTTTCTTTGGGGACTTGCCCCCGTTCTGCAGCGAGTTCACGTCCACTGTGACCTGCTCCGTGCACGGGGCGGGTTCTTTGGCCTCCTGCTTGCTGTTCTTCTGCTTGGTGGTCTCGGCTGCGGGCCTCTTGTCCTTGGAGGAGGCCTCTGAGCCCTTCTGGGCCGCCCCCGCGGGCGCGGGCTCGGGCTCTGGTGGCGTGGCGGGCTTCTCCGTGGAGCTGGACGTCTGCGGCAATTTCAAACAAAGCCCATTTTTAGTGACTGCAAGGCAATTGCCAAAGGCAGCGGAGTGAATGTGTGGAAGCAGGGATGTTCAAATGAGGGGTGGCGTCTGCAGGTTYGTAAGTCTTGGGTGAAATGAGAAAAAAATGATATGAGGTTACGCACGGTGCGGGACATTTCTTATCCATGAACCCTTGAGTTAATGCTATGTTTTTCCAGCAAGCGTTCTTCCTCCTTTGTTGGTACCAGAACTTGGATTGCTCTTTGGAAACCAGCCTTTTCCCTTCTTGGGGTCTAAGAAAACTCATTCTACCCGTGGGCAAGACACCTGATGCAGGCCTGGCCAATCAGAACACTGCGTGGTGATTGGGCAGCTATGATTGGTTCAGGGGAGCAGAAGAGCAAAAGCTGAGCCACTCTCAGAACTTAAGAGGCACAGATTTGAAGCTGTGAAAAGGTAAGCCTGGGGCTTTCAGAACCAACACCATTTTTAGGGTACACGTGCCTGGAAAGGAAGCCAACACAAGAAAGCAGAGCGGAGACAGGGAGAAAACGACAAGGTGTTGATGGAATCATGTGAGACCACTTGACCTAGCTGTTCTTGAAGCCCACTTTGTGCTTAAACCAGCTTAAAATCTACTTATAACCAGATGGATACCTCTTGGGGATACCCATTCTTTTCTTTGTGATTGGATCTACCTTAATTTTTGATATGAAACTGTCCTTTCACTTCATGAAATGGTGGCAAAAGAAGATGATTGGCTGATTTTGAGTTTCGATRTACATTCTTCTATGCCACGACAAGAAGCTGACGATTGCCGTTGGTTCCTACCATCTAGAGAGCTGAAGCTATGGAGTCTAGAAAATGGTGGGTAAATTCCAGATTTACAGATCAAAAAAAAAAAAAAAAAAGGAAAAAATGTTAGGAAATAGAGATCCTTTTCTCGTAATTTTCTTAAATGCCAATGCCTACAAGGGCAAGACAGATAATGTGAATGCAAAAGAAAAAAGAAAAAGAAAAAAGAAGCCAAGGGTAAGAATAGCCAGTTGGAGATCTTCTTTCCCCAACGGTGCAAGCAACAGAGGTCAAAGAAGTATTTCTCGATTGTGAGAAAAACACCAGTTCAAGGAACGCTGGTTTTGGTAACGGGGAGATAAGCTGAAGCCCGGTCAGAGGGACTGCTCTGAGCTGAAAGTCACATGCCCTGGCCAAAGAGATCCCAGCTGGGAGGCACCGGATGGGCGTGCAGACTGCTGCTGTCAGATGGGCTGTATTTTCATTGGAACCTCAAAGCTAAATCTTTTAAAAATGAAAAATGTGTCGACTTTCGACTTTAAAATACTGACTTCAAAAGTTTTTAAGCCGTGGTCACAGCAAACAAAAGGAGCCACTGAATATGTGGTCACAACCTAATCCATCAAGGTATGTGCTGTCCCCAGGAAAGAAGTTCTCTGACAGAGCTGCAGCTATGATTGAGAAGACCACAGGCAAAGAACWATCATTTTGAACCCAGTGAACCCAGCACACCACTTAGATGAGCCTCTTCAGCCCTGAAGGTGGCCTCAGGTGGCCGCTCTCAGGAGGCAGAAGACCTTGGAGAAAAAGCACCGAGGGCCAGCACCAGAGAAGCCGAGCTTAGGATACACACCCTCCATGCCCTGCCCCAGCCCAGCAGCCAAGTTGCAGCAAGTGCTAAGACGTCGATGTCCAAGTACCATGGACAGCCTGGAGCAGGCCTGGCCTCAGAATGACACAGAAAAGCCCACCATGGTGCTCTGCAGAGAGGTCAGAAGCCTGTGACCCATTTCTGTTGGGTGGAAGAGGTCAAGATCTAGTAAGGGCTAAAGGCTCAGGGTCCAGAGTCACAGGGCTCTGGTTTGGATCTAGTTCCATCACATCCTTGCTATGACCTGGAACAAATGGTTCCGTCTCTTGGTGTCCTTGTCTGTATGAATATGAAAAGACACCTCGTGGGGTGGCCAGGATCAGACTAGCCAGGATGGAAGACCTGCTTGGCGCAGCGTCTGGCCCAGGTGACATGCCAGACACAAGGTGGCCAGTCACCTTTGTCCTGGAACAAGGAGGTTCCAGGACAGGGAACTGACAGCTTTACTATCAGGAGAGTCCCAGACCAATGGGGACAAGTAGGTCACCCTGACTTAGTATCCCCAGTGGCGACTCCTTAAAAAGACTGTGTGGCTCTTGACTGCCTGGTACAGAGGGGACACCAGTAAATAACTGTTGAGCATGACAAGACAGTGGCCCCCATGCCTCTCTCCACTTGTCGCCTGTCCCTTGCCCTTTTAGTCCCTCTGCTCAGCTACAAGACCTGCTTTCCCCTTGGAACAGGGCTTCACATTTCCTCTAACTTCTGTCCAGTCTGCCGCCATGGTTTCCCGCTGAGGCTCAGCTCTGATGGCATCTCCTGGGAGACACAGCCCCTGATCCCCTCTGGAGCACAGCAGTTGCTTTCTTTATGCTTACAGGGACTCAGGGCTTCTCTGTTCACTCAATAACGTCTATATCTGGGGATTGAACACCTGGGGATTTATTCAGGTGCTGGGACAGGGTTGGTCTCCAGTGAAATATGTTGAATGAATGGCCAGCAACTCACCCTCCAAATGCTTCCCAAGTCTTTCACTGTGGGGCAGGAGGTGGGAAGCGCAAGGAACCAAGAAAGAGCTTTGGAGAGTTGAGGTCCATCCTCCACACGACCGCCCCTTCCTGGCCAGGCTTAGAGCACCTTTGCAATGACCTAGGTACTAACTTCTGAAGATGGTCATTGACCGTCTCCTTATCCATGGAGTCAGTTGAGAATCAAAACCATGCAAGGATTGCTCTGTCACTAAACTCAAACCTTTACTTGGGTTTGACTCCTTCTSCAAACGCACAAGCATCTTCTCATCTGAGCTCTCGGGAGCAACCTCTCCTGGAACCCAGCAGCTCTGGCAGGAAGAACAAGGCTGTCTCATGCGATTCCGACTCCAGAGGCCCAACTAGCAGGAGGGCCTGGGCTTCCATCCCTAGAAGCATCCACTAAGGGTTTTACAACCGTAAAGAGGAGAATCGCAAAGGAGCAGGGAATATCTACTCTTGTCCCTCCAAATTAAATAAGTATTTGTGACCTCCCAGAGAGTCAGCATCTCTCTTGCCTGGATTCAAGGTCCTGGAAGACCAAGTTCCCTGAGAGACTCTCAGGAACCTCGTGGGCGAGCCCAAGTAGATTTCCACAGACTGCATTCCATTTCTGCATTTTGTTTTGCCTTGTTTGGGGCTGGGGGTAGAGGCCACACCCTGGGGCACACCAAGCACAAGCTCACCACTGAGCTACACTCCCAACCCCTGTTACAGTTTTAGAACCACCAGAAAAATTGGCATAGCGGTTTCACGGAAGATTCCAGACCAAATACACAATCACATTTAAGTCCCCCCCCCCTTGCTTTTTGAATTAGGTAAGTTTATCATGTTTGCAATGTGGTAAGCTTGGAATTTTTGGTTCTAAGACTGTACTTTGAGGGTGGGTGTAGACATACATAAATAAAGGAAAAAAAAAACAGTTTGAAGTATATGAAGAAGGAAAACCCCTATTATTATAGAAATACTAAAAGCGCAATCATGCTGTGAGCACTGCAGGGTGGTAACTCCCAACCAGCAACCCAACAGTGAGAGAAGGAAACAGCAACTGCTGAAGACTGAATGTGCGCCCAGGTTCCTGGGCCAAAGCCCCAACTCCAGTGTGACTGTATTTGGATGAAGGAAGTAATTCAGGTTAAAAGAGGTCACAGGGTGGGCTCTGATTCTCAAGGATGAGTTAGGGTCAATGTAAGAGGGCTCTCTCTCTGTCTTTCTGCAGTGTGAGGGCCAGGCTCCAGGGCAGCCCCCTGCAAGACAGGAAGGGAGCACTCAGCAGGGACTGACACCTGCCGGCACTTCGCCTTGGCCTTTCCAGTTTCCAGTGCTGTCATCTGACCCCCCAGCCTACAGCATTTTGTTAGGGCAGCTGGGGGTGCCTCATGCAGCAGCTAACATTCATGGAAGCTGTTGTGCCAGGAAGGATCTCGGTGCTCCAGTGCTCCGTGTGCATTGACTCATCTGAGTGTGACACCCTAGKGGGTCTTCTTTTCCTAGCTCCCTCATCAACGAGGAAAGCGAGATGCTGGAAGATTTGGTAACTGGCCAGAAGTCACACTGCTAAAAAGTTGGCTGTGCCAGGATTGGCACCTGGGCAGTCTGAGTCCACGACTCAGCCTCTCGAGCATTTCTCTATCTTGCCCAAATTGAAAAAAGAGGATTGATGACATTTTTTTTTCAGAGATACATTTTTTAAGTTAAAAGAAGAGTGCAGATTACAAAGTAGGATGGGCATGATCCCATTTTTTTTAAAGAACACCTGAGGTTGTAAAAATGTCATAGCTCTGTTTTCTTAGAATAGAGAAATTATGGAAGCAAACTCTGTGACCCCATGTCTTTCACTCCCACGACGTGCCAAGCACCCTGCGACGTGATGGGAAATAGAAATGAATGCTTCACAGATGTTCCCAGAGGGATGAGAGGGGCAGGTGGGACAGGCAGCTAACAGACGAGTGACTGCAATTTGTGACCGGTGGATGAAGCAAAAACACAAAGCGGGGTGACTGGCGGGCTTGAAAGGCTCTTTGAAGAGGTGACACTTGTGCTGACTTGAAGGACAGGAAGTGAGGAGGGAAGAGTGCTGTGGAAGGCCCGGAGCTAACTCCAGCAGGTCTGCAGAGCCCAGCAGGCGCCTAATATGCAGCTGGGAAGTGCACTGCAGACAGGTGGGAAGAAGARCACACACCGCCAAGCCCACCACCAAACCAAGTTCAAGGTCACTTACATGGCAGCTGGAGTCTTTCCCGTTTATTTCTTCTGAGGGCGGGATCCCTTCATCCCCTTTCACTGACTAAAATAACAAACAGACAAGGGCCTTTCAGCTCCCATGGTATGCAAACCTGGGGAACGCGAGCACCACTCATTATTGAGACTCGGATCAAGACAAACGCAAGGCCCACCGGACACCTGCGAGTCTTGGGATACCTGGATTTCCTTCCACATGTGCAACCAGAGTCTGACAGAATCCGAGCCTTGGCCTCCAAAAAACACAACAGAAGCTCTCAAACCCTGGTTAGGTCATTCTGAGACAAATAAATGGTGACAGTACTATCAGTGCTGCAACCAAGCGGTGGTTGAACATGTTGCAAGAATGAATCTCCAAATGGGAAATCCAGCCTTGTAACCCCCCGCTGGTACCATTTAGGTGGTGGGTGTAACTAAAGTAGAGATTTGAGTTAGACTGAGCATTCGCTTTCCACCCTATAGCGCCCCCTATAGCACCCATAACAGGCCTGGCTGAGGCTGAGTTGGTTCCTTGGTTCCTTAAACCCCACACTCTGAGCTATTTTTTCTAGAAGTGTGGTTCCAAAACCTGCAGCGTCAGCCTCACCTGGAGCTGTGTTAGAAATGCAAACTCCTGACGAGCACTCCAGATCTACTGAATCAGAAATCCTGGGTCTGGGGCTCAGCCATCTAACCAGCCCCCCAATGGTGCTGACTAATGCTGGAATTGGAGCACCAGCACTTTAAGCTATTTGGCCACAAATGAATTCGGACCAATCCTGGGGGTTGTAGTTTTAACCGTGCATTTAATAATGCCCTATTATTGATGCTCGATAAATCTGATAATGAATCACTCAGTCCATATCAACAATACTGACTCAGGTCTAATCCCTGAATTGGTCAGTGCTTAACATCTCCTCCCAGTTGGTAAGGGAGTGCACAGTGGGGCAGAGAAGACCTCAGGTTGCACTCATGTCACCATGGCTGTGCTCTCAGTGGACAGCAGGAATCCACAATATGTGCAAAACAGTTAACAATGTGAAAGACACTCAGATGCATTGGGGCTGAGGAGCATCATATGCCTCCTCTGAGCTATGGCACTCATGTCTTCACAGGTAATGGCAGGATTACGTTTGGAAGCTAACTTTTGGCTGGTGCTAAGCACCAAGACACTGGGCTAAATGAGAGGACAACTTGCATAATTCAATCATCCTATTAGAACCTTAAGAAAGAGGAGGAGGTGTGATTATTTCCTTCCCTCAATATATGGGCAAAAAAAAAAGGAATCTCAGAGACACCTTGGGTCATGAAACTAGCAGGGTAGAGAGACTGAGTGTGTGCTCCATACTGGAAACCTTCCCAATATCACTGTGCATGAGGAGGCACCGCTCAATGAACAATGGTTCCTGAACATCTACTATGAAGTTGGTAACACTAGCTTCAGCCACGCGATTAGGGTTTGGGTGAGAGGAAGGTTGGTAAACCTCACAGAAGGGCATGTGTGGGACCAGCCCTTTCCCAAGGTCAACAGTGCTCTCCTTGGGGTTGCTCTCCAGTTCAGAAGACTTGAACAGGACCTCCAAGGGCATAACAGTGAGTGGGATCCTGTGCTTTGACCCAAAACCCACACTGACAGATCTTGCACAGGGCAAAAGCCTGACATGCACTTCGGATTGGCTGGGATGGACAAAGTGGTGTCTGACAGCTCTCCATGCTTTCCTTAGGGACAGCACTGTGGCACTCCCCCAAGGTTTTCATCCTAAAGGCAAATAAGAATCATCCTGTCCTCTACATAAAATTTGCATCTCTTAACGCACTAAGTGGTTTCTCCTTCCTCTGGGTCTCCTGCTTTGTTCTGCTGAGGTCCAGCCTTGCTTGAGAAGGTTTAGAAGAAGAATCRGCCTCTGTTGCCTTTGCCCTCAGTCTGCCCATCACACGTGAGGGTTAGACCTTGGGGATTTCATTCAGCCTCCTGGATTCAGGCTGCATCTTTAGGGCGCTTACTGCCTGGAACGTGTCCTTAGGACACGCCTGCCTGTCCAYATTAGGTGGCATCTGGGAAATTTTGAATGGCAAAAAACAAATGAACACGTAGTCCTTCAAGCCAAAAACAGAATGGACACCAGGAGTCAGGCATGGCCCTTCCCCCTCCTCTGGAAAATRAAGCTCTCTCTTTTGCCCCCGAAGAGGGAGGGGTTTTGAATTTCCTGTCAGTTGTTTCAATTTGGTATTCGTTAGGTACTCTGCCGGTTTTAAGGTTTCAATTTGCTCTCCTCCCCTCCCTTTCTTTGATGGTTCTCGGATGAGAATTGGGGTTGAATCTAAATCATGCTAGGTTGGCAGCAATGCAAACAGACCTTCAGGCTGTGGGGAAGATCACTGCAAGTTTAGCCTCTTTACGAAAAAAATTGGAGTGGCTACCTTCAGCATTTCCGTGATTTTTCTCTGTTGCTCATTTGGAGGCACAGAAAGCTCAAAGCGCACAAACCCGACTGATGGCAGGGTTGTGACTCAGGGTGTTATTTAGTGCATCTGAGGTCATTAACAGCCCTCCCTCTCACCCCTCCCTCTCCATCCCTCCTTCTTCACTCTTGGTAGAGCCTCCTTCAAAGACAACTCAGGATAACAAGGTTGGGCTCAGCCATTCGAAGGGCCAGAACCACACAGGCTTATTTTTTCCAGCTGTCAAAAATAGCATAGTTACTGTTTAAAGAGACGAAAAGTCTTTCAGAGACCATTTAGCACTTTGAAGAACAATTTGAAAGCTATTAAATCAGTTTCCAAAAATTTCCAATTTGACACTGAGCAACTTTCTTCTCGGGTTATTTTGTCCCTGAGAATCCAAGGGGAAGCATCTCAGGGCACTTGGCCTGCAGTGTTGAGAGGGAATCTTGTTGTGGCACCCAAGCCTTGCATATTAATGAAGTCACTTTTTATTTCTTTCACTGTGTCCTGAATTCGGCTAGCTTGATAACGCTGAGGAACATCTGAACCGTTTCCAATACATGGAGTCAGATATTCAAAATTCTAGCAGAAGCATTCAAAAAGGAATGGAAATGTATTTTGATGTCAACTTAATTCAACAAAAGCTGATATTTAGAAGAAGAAAAATTGGGTTGAAATTTTAATGTGCTATGAGAATATCAGCGATGCTGTTTACTAGATCAACCTCACTACCACAAATGCAAGGAACTGGGGCTACTGGAAATTTCCAGGTTCCACAAAGGTAATGAGTCCAGACTCCGTGCTTTATCAAAATGCTTGTATAAAACAGATTTGGAATATTTTAGCCCAGTGGGGTAAATTTCCTTTTCATGACAGGCACATGCAGGAAACCTATGTCCAAGCTTTCCTCTTATGCCTTCCTGTACTTGCAGGTAAGAGCAGTATCCCAATACATAAAAAAGATCTTTCCTTAGAAATCACCACGGAAGAACACACCAAAAAATGGAACTGACAGTTGTCCTGCGCCCAGATAGCCTCATCTGCGGCAGAAGACCCAGAAGCAGCAGTTGCACTGGAGAACAAGGGGAACGTTAGGAACAACGAAAATAAGAAGAAAGCGCTGACCTCTGTCAGTACCCGGTGCCCACGGAGGTGCTAAGCCCTGGGCTCCTTGGGTTTCTACCCTAAAGATAGAGATGTGGGGCTGGGGTTGTGGCTCAGTGAAGAACACTTTGAAGAACAATTTGAAAGCTATTAATTCCCAAAATTTTCCAATGTGAAAGTAAACTTGCCTAGCATGTGTGAGACACTGGGTTCGAGTCTCAGCACCGCATATAAATAAAGAAAGAAAGATCCATCATCAACTAATAAAAATTTTTAAAAAAGAGAGAGATTGTGCAAGCAGCTCCAGCAGAGCGCCGCCACGTGGTGGGCACATGAAGGACAGGACTGTCGTCTGCTGCGCTGGTAATCAAGGAGTGCCCGGCGACCTGCAGTGACCCTGCCAGGGTAGACAAACCCTAGTCACTGGTGGAGACTGGAATTGCCCAATTAGACGCTTCTTTCAGAAACCTGCTTTCAAAGAGCAAATCAGTACCAACATTTTAATACTCAGGGGAAAACCTGAGAACAAGAACATTGGCTAGGAGACACCTGTTTTTTTTTTGAATTATAGTTACCACTGCAAACCATCTACTTTCCCCCTCCAGATAGTAAATTTCAACAGCTATCAGCTTCTTAGATGAAATATAATCATTAAAGAGCTCTGATTCCTCAACTATTTTCTCATTTGGTCCTTTAATTGGCCTGGTATTAAAGCTGACAGTCTTTCTCTGAGTCTGAGAATGTTAGTTTTTTACTTATAAAATGAATGGTCCCAAATTAAGAGTTAAGAGGTGGATTAAATGAAATAATGTATGTGAAAATAATTTGGAGGAGGAACGCACTTTTCAAGTGCAAGGTGTTATTATATTGACAAATTATAAATCCCAAATCTATACATTTCTATCTGCCACCTTTGTGGTTTCAAACCTTCCTACCTGGTTTGTGGATACATGAATGCAGCACTCTGCCCACTCATTTTATAAAAATATACTAGCACTTCAGATATTCAATTTCTTGACATACAGCTGAATTAATATGTATAAGAATCTTTTTCTATTTAGGGCATGACAGATGTCTTAGATGTTCCTTGCAATTATTTTGAAATCCTGTAGGAGCTGATAGGATTTTTGCAAAGTGGTACATCTACATGCATTGAATGCAACGTTAGACTTCTATTACTGAATTCTTTTTACTTGAAATACAGTTATTTGGAAGAATGATATTCCATTTTTTTTTTATTTTCATGAGAGGTTAATTTCTGGAAAGTAAATGAATTGGGTAATGCCTTATTTTGAAAAAAAAAAATCAACTGAGAGTCAATTTGTCATGGGATACGAAAATATGCTCTCAGAAACTAAAGAGAAGCAGAGTCCAGGAAGTGGAAAATCAATGATCTGATGAATGAAGAAATCGAACACAAAACAGAGGTTTTGCAATTGAATTTTCTCTTCTATTAAATCTTTTTTTAAATCCATATTTTATGCTCACAATATGTAAAATTAGTTTGGAATTTTCACTTATTTGGCTCAAAAACATTCTCCTGGAATCCTTAATATGACGCCAGATACTGTCTTTATTTTTAAGCCCCTAGAGCAGGCTTATTTTTTTTTCTTCTCTCCCTTTGCATAAACCCAAAGACTTTAAATTAATTTGGAAGCCACGAACATGTTGCCAGAAAGCCAACTTCCAGGAATCTACCCCATGGGAATATTAATATGTGTATAAAAGTGAGTGTCTGCGGTTCTCAGGGAAGCACTGAGACCCCGTATGTGAAATGCTCGGGGTTAGTTCATGGTTGAGAGGATGAGGACGGAGTTAAAAATGTCCATTGTCCTCACTAAGCTTTACTCCCCCTGAGGACAGACACTGCACCCATTTATGCTGTCCCTTATGTCCCTAGTGCCCAGAGGAGAGTGGACACCTAATAATTCTTTGTCGAACGTCTTTTGTGCATTCGAATGGGTCAAAATGGCAATAAAATTTTCTAATGAAAACAAAACAGGAAAAAAATGACAATAATTAGGAAGTCTGGGATTTTAGGGGAAGTTCCAACAATCCAAAAATATGCTATTTTCCCCCCCTGTACCTTCCAGCTCTATCCAGAAACAGGAAGGCTGATCACCCTCAATATTATGATGCACTACTTGAGGATCTCATTTGTCATGCAGAGGCGCTGCCAGAGACAGACTCAATGTTCTTTTCTTTCTTGGCATAATGTGAAAATCGGTTTAAGAATCTCAAATCTTGATCTTCCTTTTTAGTGCCAAGTTACAGAGCAAATGATCAGCCACAGAGATGGGGTTTCAGCCACACTCATGGATTGTCTACTGTGCATGCTGAGTTTCTTTTTTATTTTCCTCCAGAAGAATCCAGCAGGAAAATAAAATGATTCCTGCCAACAATTTCCAACAGAATTATTTCTAATATGCGTCAACTTCCACTGACAAGAGTTTTGTTTTGTTTTTATTTTTTTGTGGACCCAAAAGAATTCTTTTAACAGACTGATCTCATGAAATTAGAGAACTACTTTCTCAAAGGATTAAACTTCCCAATACTCCCCAAAATAAAGGCACACTGTAATGAAATTCTCATTTTTCATTAAAAGAGAATTAAACCTATGACCTTTTATGTGGATTTTTGATTTTTTTTTTCTCCAACTGATTCAGGTTTTGTTGCATTATGTTATTTTCCTGACTATTTAGAGATTGAAAGTATGTGATTCTTCATAGGCACCAAAGATATCTGTCTACATTCTTTCCATTCTGTACATAGAGGGAAAAAAATGACAAATTTACCAGCTAAACTATAAATATACACTATGACAATATCATGTTATCATTTCCCTATTTGAATTCTCTATGTTAGCTTTGTCTAAATTTGAGTCACACACATGTCACCTTCAGAATTCTTGACCCCTCAATGTATAACTTGGACTATTTAGTATTTTATCCACATAAATGCCTCATGTTCTTGATGTAAATAAATGCATTTTCAAAGGAAACTCCACATTATTACCATGTTGTAAGCGTCATTTGCCACCAATAGAAGGAAACTTGAAAAATAAATTAAATCAAATGCAAGCCATAATGTTAACTTTTAGGACGATGCTCTTGTTTGCTAGAACTCAGGATCCAAAGCCAGCTCTTCCTTAATAAAAAAGAGAATCAGCCAGCATTAAAGAAGGTCAGCCATTCTCCGAGGCTTCCTCCGAGACTGAACTGGAGGAGGAGGGCATTCTCTCACTTGCTGGGCGTTCATGTCCCATGCACATCCCCTGCCACCGGGCACTGCCCCTTACTTGCGGCAGCGGAGCTCGGTAGTGCACTGCTGTGCTGGAAGGAATTGGCTTACCATGTGTCTGAGCAATGCCATCAGGGAGGTCCTCCGCGGCTTGCTGGCTTCTCTTTTGAGTTTTACTTCCGTGGGTTCAGGCTTAGCATCTTCTTCTTCAGTGAGATCCACTGTTTGTGAGGCTGAGTCTACTTTCTCAAACTTTGTAATTTCTACTGGTGATTCACACACCACCTGGATAGTTTGCCAGGTATTAAGAAAGTGAAACAAAACAAAACAAAACAACAAAACAAAACATACATTTGCCCAAAGCATGTTTTATAAAGGGGCCGGGGCTGTCCCTCTCCACAGGGTAGCTATAGATTTGCGYCGATGACCATTTGTACCCAGGCACAGCTGCGTGTTGTCCAAAGTGCTTTCCAACAGCCAGTTTTTGAATCACTAACACACTGATGTGGACATGGCAAGTTCCCTCCCATGCGTCWACAGGACACAGAGGGGTCCCTCTGGGGACCCCTCTTCTATTCCAGTGAGCCCACCTCTTTGGTCTGCTACAAGGGCAAATCACACTTGGCCTGTGCAGAAATCAGGAATCGCCACTCCCTAGAGTCCCACCCTAGAGGCAGTGGCTGTGACACCTGCTATTCCACAGCCTTTGTCCCTCGCAACTGTGGGGAAACTGTCCTCCTTGCAGGAAGGCGGAGAAGCCACTTGGCTTCCTGGACTGGACCTCCTCATGCACTCATTTCCCACCTCTCCAGTCACTTGCATTGYGACTCAACTGGAGTTGGGGCTTCCAGAAGAAAAATGAACTTGACCCCAGAGCTACGGCTGTGTTGGTGGTGGCGCCTGCAGAGGGCTCGTGGGCTAACGCCCTCTGACCACCTACTSGGGAGAAGGGTAGCCAGCGGTAAGCTCGCATGGACTAGCCCATGTACTAGCACACGGGCCCCAACTTGTGCTTTTGCACAGTCACGTGCCATTTCTGTGGCCCCAGTCACATCTGGGACAGTTTCTGCGACTATAGTGGTCCYTGCAGCAGGACGGAGTCCACTGGCMGGGAGGCATTTTTCGTTTCCTCGGTTTTCCAGGCAAGAGCTGGCAAAGGACCGCCCACCCACCCAGCCACCCAGCCCTGTGCCTGTTTTACATGGCCCTGAGCTAAGGATGGTTTGTTCGTGTCTAAATAACTATTAAAAGATGAAAATATTGGATGCAGACAAAAAACGTCCCACAAATCCTAAAATATTGACTCTCTGGGCCCTTTCATCCCAGGTTTTCCATCCCCTGTCTCCAACAGAAGCACTGCCGAGCCAGCGGCCTCTCTGTGTTTGTCCCTGCGGAGCCAGACACCAGACTGCTCAGAGCCTTGTTCTCAGTGTCGGGGTGGGGGGGGGGGGAGATGGAGTTGTCTCCAAAATACTGAATGCTTACGGACAAGCTACCTCCCCTTCCTTCACATAGTACACGCCACTGGTTTGCAGTGAGCCAAATTTTCCAAATAGAGATTTTTAATCTTTGTGTTATCAACCAAGGCAGAGAGCTGCCAGTCAACAAATCAGCATGCAGAGCACCCTGGAATTTGGCAAGGGAATCAGAGTAGTCTGCCCGTGCCTTGCATTTCTTAAAATAKCCACATGATTTGTGGTATTTTCCCTTTGGAAGGGAAGGACTAAGCTCAGGTGTTAGGACTCAAAAGGCCTCCTAAGCAAGGCAGAGGTGTCCCTGTGCAKGGACCAGATAGAGAGAAAAGGTGTGGTCAGGACTACCGCCAAGGAAGGTCCCATCTGAAGACTTTCAAAGATAAAAACACTGGAYGTGCTTGGGGGAAGCTGCTGCCACCGGCTGCTGGTTTCTGATCCCAGTCTGGCTTTAGACCAACGAGAGTCTGGGATGGGTGTCTGAAGGGGGACGTGGTTTCCGCATCTAGGCACGTTCCATTCAACTGCATTTCTGGAAAATGAGCATCAGCCACAAAAGCTCATGAGCTGGGCCTGGAACATATCTGTCCCACAACGTGGTCAGAGAGCAGAGGTGCTGGGTAACCTGCTGGGCAGAACTCTGTCTTTACCCCTAAGTGGGCCTCATCCAAGGTCAGCGTTTCATCTTCTCTGTTCTGGGTGGGGACACTGTACTCATCACAAAGCTGTTCTGAGGATTAAATCAGGCAATTCATTGTCAGGCCATAATTAATACAGGGGTTGTGATTTGTGTTAGTTACACCTATTTACTCCATGAGCACAAATTACCTGGAATCACCACCACCCGCAAGTCCATTACTGAGGGGTGATTAGTTTAATAACTACCTCTGACTGTGCCTGGAGTTGAGAAAGCCATGTTTTATACATAACCTCAGGAAATAGTCACAGAGACAGCCCAGGAAAGATAACGTTATCACCACTTTATAGATGAAGGACATGAATGATTGAATGACTTGGCTAAAGTCACAGTACAGAGGAGAGGACATTTCAAGGAGAAGAGCACTTTCTGCCAGTAATTGAATATATAATAGTGGATTAATTGATAAGGAYATGGAAGAAGGAGTTTGAGAGCAAGTCATTCTGGAGCTGGTCCAGCAGCTCTGGGACTTCACTAAGGACTAAGCATCGTCTTATCCTGTGTCTCCACCACTCTTGTCATGCTGCATTTTCATTCTGTTATTTGTTACCTCATAGTCATGAAATAGCTGTTATAGCTCCAGCATCACATCCTTATCTCAATGTCCTGAGATGGAAGGAAGGTCCCCATAATAGACTTGCTCCATAAGAGACAACTCCAGACTGAACTTTGGAATGAACTTTGGAATTCGGATCCTCTAGTTCARGGCACACAAATCTCACTGGTCATAACTAGGTCACTTCCTTATCCCTAGACTAATCATAGGTGAAGAGAACGGGTAAGAGGAAGATTAGCATGGCCCTAAAGTGGGTAATGAGCAGTTTGACTGACTGACCCTYGATTCTGAATTCTATTTGGCCTTTGAAACAGCATCTTCTTTTTTTGTGTTCAAGGGCCTGGAAGGAAAGTCACTTCTGTAATAAAATGATAGATTGCATGACAATAACTTTGTAAACCACCCTTATCCGAGTGCCAATGGTTCCCTTGTGGGGTCTTTCCAAATGCTGAGAGGTGTCAGCTCATGAATCCTAGGCCGCAAGTCCATTCTCCAAAACACAACAATTTTAGTAGGAAAACAAATGGGGCTTCTAGAGACTTCCATCAGCTTTGAAGTCAGGCCAAGAAGTTGGCTTTCAGTAGCCAAGGAAAATCCACCRACATCGGGTGTGGGAACCCAGCACAATTTGGACTAAGTAAGGATTCAATTTGCATATACAGACATGAGAATTCAATTTTTACTTGGATACTTCTCTGACTTCCTTTCAGGCTACAGCTTTGGAAAAAGTCATTCCCTATTTAGAATATATTAGTGCATCTGTACATTTTAATTTTAGGTTTTATAGATATAATTAAAATCAGACTTATGCCATATTTTATTTTTGTGTGAGCTATAGTTTAGAATTGAATCTCCCTTGCTTAATTTCAAYAGGGAATGTGTATACATTGTATAGGATTGGCCAGTATGTTTAACATGCAAAATATACCTTTCTGTAAAGGGTGTTACTTATTACCTCAAATTTTATACCGTACTTATATTTTTTATTTTTAATTTATTGGTACCAGGGATTGAACTCAGGGGCACTTGACCAATGAGCTACATTCCCATCCCTGTTTTGTATTTTAAAATTTAGAGACAGGGTCTCACTGTGTTGCTTAGCACCTTGCCATTGCTGAGACTGGCTTTGAACTGGTGATCCTCCTATCTCAGCCTCTTGAGCCACTGGAATTACAGGCGTGTGCCTTTTGAAATTTTGTTTATACGGTTTTTCTTTTTTTATTAGAGCTGTGAGTTTTGGGAACTAATTTATAGCAAAACAGATATCCTCCACTTAAAACTTCAGCCACCACATAATAATAATATTGGTATTTAAGGGTTTTACTTTAGATTGTTTTTTATTGGATTTATAATGTGATTATTTGGTTACAGAGAATTAGAGATTTTCTTTCCTACCCAGTAACTCTTTTTTTTTTCTCATCAGTTTATAGCAGCCAGTTTTGCTTTGGGGCAACCATCCTCCTTGACTGATTGAAAAAGTCTCAGCCAACCAACCTGGTCTAGCTCCTTGGCATGTTGGCTTAGGGAAGGCAGMATCGGGTGGGCAGAGTGTGTTATTTTTACAATTATTCACTCYACCTTCTTGGGAAAGAATCACACATCTGTGCCCCTTGCTGGGTGACCTGCTTTAGTGAATGGGATATGAGTGGATATGACATAAGCCACATCTGAGCTGAGGCTTTAAGAGCCATTGTGGCTTCTCCCTGGTGTTCTTCTCTCCCCACAGGTCCTTGAGGAGGGACCGCTTATTTATGCTAGATCTTGGCAGAAAGAGACCATGTGAAATAGCYGTGGTAAATGTACAGCTGACTTGTGGCATAAGTGGAAAAAAAAAAAAGAGAGAAAGCTGTTGAAAGCCACTAAAATTTGGGGTTTGGTTGTTACTGCAACAAAACCTGGCAAAAGCTGACTAAAAGAGCATGTGAACACATTTGCGCCAACGAAGGAGACAATTCCAGGACATGTGGGCTTGGACCTGGAGAGATCTCTCCTTTACTCAGGACTGGGTGATGTGCTGTTGGAAAGCTGAGAAGGCACCCAGACCAAGAAGGCTGAGCTAAGGGAGAGCCCCAAGGGAATTTGAAACCAATTCTACTTTCCAGTGATGACGCTCAATACATTCCTTTTTCTTTCTCATCCAGGTTGTGCTTGGGTTTCACTGGCGACTAAAAGTTCTCTTATTAAGAGGGAAACAGCAAAAGTGTACTTTGTCTTGGGAAGGAAGTTGTTTTCGTTAGTTAGAACATTAACTCAGACCATTAACAGCCCAACATTTCCAAATCACCACTGAAAGATTCAATAATTTCTATAGTCTATATAGATATCATTTCTGATAGGAGAAAAAGCATACCCTAGGAAAAACAGTAAACTTTTTTTTTTTCTGATTAAATATGAATGGACCTTTCTGGGTGACAGATTGTTTTGGAAAGTTGGGCATAGAGAAATTTAAAAAAATAAATTCAATTCTATTTGACCCAGAAATAAGCCAGGAGTGACCTGGCCAATCGAGTCTGACTGCTCTACAGCCAGGGTTCCGGGGCCACATATTGTTTTGACCCATGCCACCTCTCCCATTAAGTTCTTCCTTTTTACATATCCCTTCTCTTCATGGGGACACCCATGTCATTTTATTTGGAGATTTAATCCTCATGACTGGGAAGAACTCAAAGATGACCTTGTAGCCTGGTCACCAACAATGACATYGGGGGTCACCCAGCTTTCTTGCCAAAGGTCCTGCCGCTCGAATGGTCTCTGTGAACCCCAGCTCTGCAGTCCTAACAGCAAAGCAGCCACAGGTGACGTGGTAGGAGTGAGTCTGGCCGTGTCCTAATAAACATTATCAGCACACACTGAGATTTGAATGACAGTTTCCACACGTCATGAAATGTTATTCTTTCCAGTTTTTTTTCAAACCATTCAAAAATGTAAAAGCCGTTCTTGGCTCACTGGCTGTTCAAAACAGGTACTGGCCTGGACTTGCCCAGGAGCTGTAGTTTGCTGATGCCTAAATTTCTGAGTGCTTCCTGAGATTTGGGCAGTGAGAGGAGCACAATACATGCCTTATCTCTCCTGATGCTTCCCCAATTCATGAAGTGCTGGTAATGCTCTTATCACCACCTGGAGATGATGGGGCCCAGATATGACAACTATTAACTTCATTCCCTCTGGGAGAGGGGCAGTTAGAAGATGAAATATTGAGCTTTAAAAATAGAAAAGTAAGTTCTAGGGCTAATCACATTAAACACTCTTTATGATGCTTCTTTGTTTTCTTAGGAAACTAATTTGCTTTTTTTTTCATATCCTGATCAACTTTTGTGCTGTCTTTTGGTATTCAGAATTTATGCTTTAATTCACATTCATATTACCATTTCAAGCTTCCTACTAGAAAATGAAATCAGATCAACTCTGCATTTTAGCATCTGAGCTACTGCAGACATCCCGAGGTGAGCAGCTACACTAAACATCCCCCAAAGAAGTTTCTCTTCAGAAACTCAGAACCTCAGTGCTAACTGATGCTCTAAGTTCAACCTGAAGCTTTAACATTTAAACTTCATGGGGAAAAGACCTGTGGGCTTCTTCGTTGCAGGTTCCTAAAGGTCTAGAGACTTTGACTCTCTAGAAAATAGCCAATAAATTCATGAGAACTTTCTGGAATCATGAGAAGCCTGAGCTTTGCTGAGCTCCTCAGTTTGGTTCAAGAAATAAAAGAAGGAAAGGATTGAGAAAGGGAGCGATACACAACAAAAACAAGCAGATTGAAAAGATTTTCTCCTCAAGAGAGTCATAACAGCCATTCTAATTTCCCTTCCATATCATGGATAGCATTTCTGGAATGTATTTGGATTCTCAACATCTGTTCAGTTCCAGTAACTAGATAAAAATGAAAATGCAAACTATCCGTGGCAGTGAACAAGAGACACCAGAAGGATCCAAACATATTTTGCTTTGGCAAAATGAAGATGTTTTGTTTCTACCTTAAGGAGCTGTGGATTCACTTATCCTCACTTACAAGATTATCCAAAGACCGTGCTTCCTTCAGGAATGAGAGCAGCTCTCTTGGGCCTGAAACTCATGAGGCCCATTTATTAATCTCCCTGAGAAATGTTTGTTTTTTTTTTAAATACACACACACACAGACAAACACACACACACACACACACGCACACACACACACACCACCACCACCACCACCACCACCGTGGCACTGCATGTGACACCATTTCTTTGGACATGAACGTACTATCTTGAAAATTTTGAGCATCTCTTGAGGCCAGGAGTATCTGACCTTGGTTAAAGGTCGAGTGCCCCCTGTCTGTCAGATGCAGACCCACGGAGTCCCCTCTCCAACTGAGACCAGCTTCTGCAGCTGCAAGATGTTCTCCTGCTTGAGGCAACTGCCTGTCCTGGGTACCAACCCAAATTAGTAAGAATCAGGATCACCATGGAGATGAAGGTGAAGGAGCAGTCAAGGCAGAAGCAGGAGATGCAGCATCATTATCCCTTATGGAAATGCCAAGCCATTCCTATGTGCTGTAGACTCTTTCACCCCTAAATGATAACCAATGATGAAGCAGCATGCTTTCCTCCTGCAATTATTTTGCATCAATTCAATGGGAGTTTCAAAAATTCATCCAATGTTGTTCCCCTTTGGCCCCCAGTCACCAGACAGGGTGAAAGAGTCCAGAGCGGATGATTATACCTGGAGCATGCAAGAACACAGGATCCCAGGGTTGGAAAAGCCCAATGGTCCAACATGCCCAAGCCGAGAGGGGGATGATTCTGTCATCGAATGCCTCACTTACATTTTCTTCTGCACCTGGGGCGACTGATTCCTCTTTAACTGACTAAAGGAAGATAAAAACAAATGTGAGAATCAAGATGTTACCCCCCCCCCAAAAAAAAAATAATAAGTTACACAAAAGCAAAGGGCTCTTAGGGCTGGCAGTTCTCTGATGTTGAAATGCTCATCTAGACCTTGTTCCAAAAAGAACTTGGAAGACGCTGACGAGCGCAAACAGTCTAACAAGATAATACAAGTTGTGCATTTTAAAATGCCAACAACTTACAGGCACAGCCAGGCTCAAATGGAACACAGAGGGGCTGCCACGGAAGACACCAGCCACAAAGCCTTGCCTGGGGGAAAGCCACGCCTTGGCCTTCATGTTTTTCTAGTAGCTGATGATAAGAGGGAACGATTTTTAATTCGCTCAATTGATAGTCAGTGTTAGGTAAAAACAAACAAGCTGCTCAGGAATATTCTAGCAGTAGGCTGAGAAGTGCACCCACGATCCTCAGGTTCTCATGACTGTCCTGTCATGAGCAGGTCCTCAGCCTTTTCCTGACCCTGGCATTGGAAGCCACTTCTTACATCAGCCCTTGATCTGGGCCAGTGTCATYGTGCTGAAGTTTAAACACTCTGGGGAGAGCCAGAGGGCTGGGGTATGATCCATCCAACTCCACACAGTTGCACTCCCTGGAGTAATTCTGCATCTCCTGTCCTGTCCTAATATCTCAGCTCTATTCTGAAGCTCCAACGTCGGATGTCATCTTTGCCTCTTTTCTTGGGTTGTCCTTAAACTTTTTTGGGGGAGAGTGTTAGTGGTTTCAGACCAATTTGATACTCAAATTACTAGATCTGGACTCTCCTCCCATAAACAAAGTACTTTTTAAATAATCGCAGGGTGTTCATAGACTTTCTGCATCTCTCCTCTTTATTCCAGGGCAAGAACTCTTCCCTGCATCTCTGCTGGTACAAGACCCGCCCTCCCCTGTAACAGGTGCAGTGTGAGCCACGCAAGGGAAGCGGTATTTACAGATGTCTTTCACAATGGCGCCTTGCTTCCACCTCCCCGCAAAGTGCCTCCAAGTAGCAAGTACTGAGGGCCCCTTTGCACAGTACTGCAAGAATAGCACGGAGGGGCAAAGTCACTTGTTTAGGCTAAACAGCTAAAAAGGGGGAAGCAGTGTTTCCAGAAGCTAAGTTTCTCTCTTGCCAACATGACTTTAAGGATGAAAATATGTACTTTTATTTGTGTGTGTTTGCCTGGGTAAAAAAGGTGTCCATGGAAGGACTGTAACATTTCTGGAAGCTTCCGACTGTCAGAAAATGATAGCACATGCAGAAGGAATTTGGGAGGAGCTCTGTTTTCTTGGAACTGTACCCCGATTGCGCGCTGTTGAACACGATGCACAGGTAAAGAATCAAATGCTGTTTTAAAAGCGGAACCTCTTCAAGCCTGACCCACAGAAGTTTCAGGAATAAATAGACCATCTATGTTAGACTGAGAAAAACCCTCTTACTATCTAAAAATAGACCGGGGGGCGGGGTTTCAACCCTCCTTCCTGTTCTATCCAGTTGTACTGAGACTTCTTTGTGTCTGTGATTTCCTTGTCTGGAAAGTCCCTGGATTTTGATTTCTCACTGTATTCTCGAAGACACTGGGAACCTGGAGCAGGTGACAGATGGGAATAGAAGGAGCTCGATCTGAACACTCAAGTTTCCTTGATCTTCATTATGTTTTCAGACTGCCAAATCTTTCTGCTGTTTTGAAAACTGGCCTTACAAATATTGCCTGTTCCAAACAAATATTTTTAAAAGTTATTCTACCAGCAAAAGTTCCTTATTTTGTGAAATTTGTCTGTGTGAGCATCTACCAACTGCAATAATTTTCATAGCATGTTCTCATCTTTGACTTGCTTGTTCATGTGTCACCAGTTTATTTGATATTTTCTATACATTAACCATAGATTTACTTAAATATATTTGAAAAGAAAGTTTCTTATTATTACAGAAATAAATGGTATCACATTAATATTACTGTTGCTTCTTGTTTAGCTTCTTATTATCACAGTCAATGTGTACCATTGACTGTGATAATAAGAAGCTAAATGGTAACACAAAAGAAATCATAAGAATCATAAGAAACTATATGTAATCATAAGAAACTTTCTTTTTCAAATGTAATACCATTTACTATAATAATAATATGTATACAATACATATTAAAATAAATACGATGAATGAAGCAAACACTTATTAAGTTCTAATAAGGTTTAAGTCTTTGTAAAAAGGGAGCCCAGCAAGGGCTAACACAGTGGTAAATTCTTGTTAATATCAAGAAGGGACATTCTTCTTGACATCACCACAAGGACAGGAATAGAATGGAAAAAGGAGAGAACTGTACTCTGCAGCCAGTGAAATGTTTTCTAGGGCTATCTCCAAGAACTGCCCCAAATTGTTTTGAACTTTTTGTACATTTGCAAATAGGGCTCCAGGTGCAGGCTGCATGTGAGCAGTGATTGACACGTGTAGTTCATGTAGAGAGAGTCCAGGTTCTGGTCACCGGTTAGCATGTGGCTCATCTGAGGAAGTATRCTACATGGCGACTGGTACATGGCGACTATAGAGTCAGGTCCAAGTTCAGAGTTTCAACTGTGTGACCTGGTTTAGTAATCACTCCTCTCTGAGCTGATTATTAGCCTGTTTGTGGTCATGCGTTGTTTCAGGAGTAAAGCTCATTCAGGGGAAAGCCTGGCAGAAACAGAGTGAGCTGCTGGCTGGGTCCAGCCCACACAGTCCTCCTGGGCCTCACAAGAGTACCCCGTTTACATGGAGCTAGAGAGTCTGGAAGTTGTGTGGACAGGTGGGGACAACTCGAGTGGTGTCTATAATTAAATGCTCGTTAATATCAGGTTTCTATAGACTCTTCTAGAAACCAGAGTATATGAGGTAGAACAGAAAGAAAAATTTCAAGAAATCAGCCCCAGAAGCAGAATTCACCTGTGGAAATTAGAACTGTAGGTGAACCCATCACCTCCAGGGCCAGGGCAGCTGGTGGTTGGTGGCCACTCAGTCCAGCTCAGCTGCTGTTGAGTTGTCTGGGAAGAGAGGGCCAAGGATGGATCTTCTACATGGTGTCACTCTGGGGCCTGAGTGGCTGCAGGGGGCTTCCCCAGAGCTGATCGAGAGCTGGGGGTGTGCTTTCTTCCTGCTACCTTGCAAATGGCAGGTGAACTGCTGGCTGGCCGCTGAGGCCCCACAGGGGTGATGGGGGTGGGGGAGAGTTGTCATGCAACTTTTCCTTGGTGTCTCTGATGGCAGTGGTGTGGCTGGGGGCAGAGACATATGGCAGCCCAGACTGACTCACAGTCATCTGTCTTGGATTCCTGCACAGGATGTGGGGCATGATTTATTTATGAATCCTGAAGACTGCTGTTGTTTATTTTGTACATATAAAGCACTTAGCAAAGTGAGTGCTTGCACATAGTATGGGTTCAACTAATGGTAGCAATTGTTATGAATGCTGGGAAGAAGTGATATCAGCTAGGTTTGTTCCACTTCCTTAAGACTTTTCTTGATGAATTCTATGTTGTTTTGGAAAGTCCTTAAGTCTGCTCAGGCCAGAAGTATGTTTGCTCCTGGAATCCTCATGAACAGATATTTTTTAACACTGCTTCGGGTTCTAGTTGGCATGGGGTAGGAAAGGATGTGGGTCTCAGTTACAACCTTGGTGACTCACTCTTTATAGTACAATGGCACATTGACCCGTATAAATAAAAAATGCCAGGTCACACTAACCGGAGCCCATTGTGGCAGTGTTTGGAGATCTTTACTGTGTATATTTTGGGCTGCCTTAATGAGCCCACCCAGCTGTCAACTTGAGCAGTGTGTTTTATGACATTGTCCAAATCACTGAAAAAAAAAAAAAAGTCAACAGGATTAAGAGCAGATTCCAGGGAGCTCCGTGCCGCGTTGTTTTCCTCCTTAATGGACCCCCTTCAGTGGCTTGCACCCCTGCACTGGATTAGCATACTTTAGACACCACTGGAGAGAACCCAGGAAGACAGTCTTCTGTTAACAAAGACAAAGGTAATGATGGCAACCGACGCTCCTGGGCTAGGTGTCACTTAACTGTGGGTTCCGTGCTTCCCGTGTGCAGTCAAGGTGGATGCAGACTGCCCTCCAGGCTCTGTTCCAGCATCTAGGAGCTTTTGCTCCCACCCTAGGGTCTTCCTTCCCTGTTGAGGTCTCAGCTCTTCTCTGCTTCTCCCGAAAGCAGACTCAGGCACCACCGCACCCCCATGGAGCTGGGTCTCTGAGCCAAGCCTGGATCTCCTGTTCTGCCTCTATTTGTCCCAGGGTGGCTTCCACGTTCAGTCCAGGGTAACAAATGGAGGTCTGGGCAACGTCCTCTCCCCTTTCTCTGACAGTTCAGAGGAAGCCTATGGGGTGGGGGAGCCAGGAGAGCAGATTTCTATTCGTTATTTCCACTGCCAGTGAGCGCACGGAGGTGGGTGACCTCCGAAGAGGAGAGACGCACTAGGACCGGGTTTGGAAGGGAACTGCTGAGACAGGAAGAAGAACTGGATGTCAAGGAAGCAGCTCTCTGCAGAGTCAGGGAGAGAACAGAATGATTCCAGGCAAGGTCCAGGCTCTTAGATTGAAGGCATTTTTCAGGTCCTGGACCTCTTGGGGTAGTCAAGAAGCACAGTGTGAGACTAACACTCAGGTGTCAGAACAGAATCACTGTCAGTCTCCTTCAACGAACTGGCACCTGGCTATTGCCAGAATCTATAGACAGTCCAGCTTCATTAGCAATAATAAAAGTTGCACTGTGCCATCTACAGGATCCTGCTTAGACCTGTAGGGCTATTTTGAAGATATTCCAGATACTAAGAAAGAGAAGATAAATGGCACATAATCTATGACCATGAACTTGAATGACAACGACTCCTCTCCTTTAAAAGTGAATTCAGTTCTTAAATGGAAGATTCTTTAAAATACATTCACGTGGTGGCACTAAAGTCAGCAGATCCTGGTGGGTCTCCTCTAAGCATCCTTTTCATCACATGACATCTGTTCTGGGTCGGCTTGTTTCACAGTGGGCCTGAGACTTATCCTATTAAACCCACAGTGTTCTGCCTCCAAGTAGGTGCTCCTGTGCCTCCCCAGCCACACACCCAGGCTTCCTAACCAGAATCCCCCAGGAAGGCTTACGGGTCTGCTTGAACACCTAGCCCAGGTGACTCAGAGCAGCGCGTGGGAACTCTAAGCTTACTTCAGCCTGCACTGACTGTGCCCTTTTTCAATCCCCAAGCCTTTGTACCCTGTTCACTGCAGTTTACCCTGGACTGCAAACTTCCCTGGGTGGAATGGAGCTATGCTCACAGAATCCCAGTCCCTTGGCCTCCCAGTGATTATGAGAGGTAGCTGACGCTGTTAGGGTTTGTGGTGGAGGAGTCCGAGGCCCTAGGGGCTCAGCCATCTGCCACTTTCAAGCAGCCAGGGGCCTGGGACTGAGATTCGAAGGTGTATCTGGGCGATGTTAAAACCCACATTACTGTTCCACTCCAGTGTTTGCCCCCCCAGGAGAAGGCAGGGGAGGGCTATTTTGAGGATATTCCAGATACTAAGTACATGTGCAGGTGTACACACAAATGTGTGTTTATCATGCTCCTCCAAATACATCGCCAACCATTCCTATGGTCACTATGCCCTGAGGGTGGGAAGCCACATGGTCTCAGGTGCTGTGTGTGTACAGTTTCTGGTTCCTTATTACCACATTGCAAGATAAACTAAGTTCTCATTTTACAAATAAGAAAACAGGAGCTCAGGTCAAGTAATTTTTCCAGGGCTACACAGTCCATTTTTTTTTTTTTTCCTGATTTGCTACATAAAAGAGGTTCACAGGCTGGGGCTGTAGCTCAGTGGCAGAGCGCTTGCCTAGTATGTGTGAGGCACTGGGTTTGATCCCTAGCACTGCACAAAACACTAAACAAATAAAGGCATGCTGTCCATCTTCAACTATAAAATTTTTTTTAAAAAGAATTTCATGATTATTTATCTCAACCCTTTCATTCAACAGATGAGGAAAAGGAAAGCCAAAAAATTTGAATAACTTGTAAGACCAGCCAGCTAGTGACAGCTCAATTGACCCAGAACAATCATGGGCATATTTAATCCAGGTCACTGGATATTAAACAGTTTTTTTGAAAGTACAGTTTAATTTAAAATTAATTTCATCAAAGACTATTTTTGTTTTTTTATTTTATATTAAGTACTTCTTCAGCAATCAGGACCACAAAATCAAAATGACTAATACTTTCATCCCTACCGCCTGTTCTGGGGAGAAAAAAAAAATCTATTTCTGAAGTTCATGGCCACAGACTTGGAAACATGTTTAAAAGCTTCTCAATTAAAAGCAAGAGAAGGAAGAGGGTAGGGTTGGCTGTTAGTGAACATGTACAAGTTGTCTGGAGTTTTCCTTTGTGTTTTTCAAGATCTGCACAAGGCTGATTTTATCATGACGCCCTTTCTAATTTAAAGAAGAGAAAGCAAAGGCCCTGGGTCTGTTCCCTACTGGAATGACCCTGTCCCACAGGAACAGGGCTCTGAGAGGGCCAGCGGCTTTTCTCCCTGCAACTGTCTTCGCCTCGCCCTCCGTACCAGCTGGCACAAAAGCCCGAGCACAGGGGGGCACCCGGAAGGCTCCAGATGAGTGAAACTCCCCTCTTTTCCTTCCTTGCAGAACATTTCCATCTGACTGGGTTAGAAAGGGAAGTCAGGATAGCAGTGATTTGGTTTGAATTCCTCTTAAGTTCACGAGGTTTAATAATCCATCGAATAAAGGTGCCAAAGGCAGCCAGCATGATAAGGTCCTTGGCTGGGAGATGAATTCATGTTGTCCTGAGGATGGCTTCCCGTGGGGAGACTGGTCGAGCAGGTACGCAGAGGGAGCTTAGCGGCTTCCCCACTGGGCATCACAGGATGGAGCTGTTGGCAGGGGGAGTTTCACCCTCCCGTGACATGGCGACAGGCACAGAGAGCGGCTGCCCTTAGCTGCTTCTGTGACAGGTGGAGTTGGGTTTGGCTGTAGCATGTCCTCTCGATTTATTTCTAAGATATGGGTGCCGCTCTAATTTGCATTTCACAAGGAAGGGAAGCCGGAGAGGTGAACTGGCGCTCAAAGCCAGGTCTGTCCAAACGCATGACTCTTGGTCCTCGGTCCATCACCTGCGGCACCTGCTGTCCAGCATGTGTGGTCTGTTGCGCCACCAAGTGTGCTGCTCAGGCTCACACGTGGGGACAGCCTTGCCCTGGCACAACTGCAACCCCCGCTGCTAAAGCCAAGCCGAGTTCCCCTGGTGGCTCCTGTCAGTGACGGAGCACCGTGGCGGACTGACCCACCTGGCCAAGGTGGACTCTCCATGTGGGCAGTCAGACTGTCGGATTCCCTCTGGTTGGGCCAAGATGCACCACCCTCCATCCAGCCCTCTCTCTCCTTCCTTCTCAGCCACCGCAGGTGTCAGCCCTCACCTGGACTCAGTGCTCTCCAGCTCCCCTGTACCCTCTGAGAGCCATCACAGGCAATTTCCTTCAATAAACCTCTAGGATGTTCCTTCTGCCTTGGTATGTGCTTCTTGAAGGGCCAGTACTTAAGATTAATGCCATTATTATATAACACTTTCCTTTAATTGGTCCTTTAAAAACTAAATACATTTATTCTCGCCCTGAGCAAAAATGCATGTTAAATCCCAAGTTTAATCGGCTACCTTTATTTCCCCCATACACGTGTGTGTATGTACACATATACACATAGGTACACATGTACACACACGGATATGAATGGATAGATGATAATTATTTAATCAAATGTACAAACATGAGTCACTGAGGTCATCTCTCTCGTCCCTAATATATGCATTTAACACATCAGAAATTGTTCCCTACGTTATGTTGCTAGTAAAAGACTTTTAAAAATAAGTAATGGTGATTAGGGAGGAAGAAGGATGGGAACAGAATGTCAGTTGACCTCTTCCAAGGTTTCCACGAATTATCGGACTCTGTGTTCTGAGAAGAACCTGGAAGGAAGATTTCTGTACAACAGGAAACAGACTGGAAAGATGCTCCGAAGTCCAGCTGGATTCTGGACAATAGGGTGAAACCGACGCCACAGTGACATCTGGATCTGTCATCTGCTCTGTACAGTGTGCCAAGTGGCACAGACGTTTTAACGAAACTGCTAAGTTGGGTTTTCTCGGCTCTATGAATTTCCACACCCCCCCCCCAACTTCTTGCTCATCTTTTGGCCCAATTTAAGCCAGGAAGGAGTGTCCTGGACATGTGTGGCAGCTGGGGCCTGCTGAGCACGGTGAGTCAGGAGTGGCTCTGGGGACTACTCAGCCCCGCCCACCACTTCCTGGCAGAGCACAGACCTCCTGCACGTTAATTTCAGAAGGGGAAACTATCAGGTAGTGGTTTGACTTTTCCTGCCCCAGAAAACAGTCTGCGCTTGCCCTGGTGGTGACCTGGTGGACACACTGGCTCTCTCAAAGGAGAGTGGCTCCCGTAGACTGACTCTAGCTGAATGGGAAGGGATGACACGGAGGCCATTTATCCACCAGGACAGACAGGATAACGTGACATCCCAGAAGGTTCACAAAACCATGGAAGACCACAACCCTTTCTCAGGAAGCCAAGTCATTCAAAGAATGAGAAATTCTACTTGTTCATTTCAATTTCTTTCCCACGAAACACCTGTTCATAAACACGATAGGCATTTCATTCTTCCTGGGAGTACAGCAGGGTCCTTGGTTCAATGGCAAGTGGAGTCACATTGGAGAGGAAAGCAGGAGGAAGGAGGAGGAGGAGGAGGAGGAGGAGGAGGAGGAGGAGGAGGAGAGGAGAAGGGGAGGAGGAGGGGAGGAGGAGGAGGAGGAGAAGGGGAGGAGGAGGAGGAGGAGAAGGGGNCCCCCCCCCCAACTTCTTGCTCATCTTTTGGCCCAATTTAAGCCAGGAAGGAGTGTCCTGGACATGTGTGGCAGCTGGGGCCTGCTGAGCACGGTGAGTCAGGAGTGGCTCTGGGGACTACTCAGCCCCGCCCACCACTTCCTGGCAGAGCACAGACCTCCTGCACGTTAATTTCAGAAGGGGAAACTATCAGGTAGTGGTTTGACTTTTCCTGCCCCAGAAAACAGTCTGCGCTTGCCCTGGTGGTGACCTGGTGGACACACTGGCTCTCTCAAAGGAGAGTGGCTCCCGTAGACTGACTCTAGCTGAATGGGAAGGGATGACACGGAGGCCATTTATCCACCAGGACAGACAGGATAACGTGACATCCCAGAAGGTTCACAAAACCATGGAAGACCACAACCCTTTCTCAGGAAGCCAAGTCATTCAAAGAATGAGAAATTCTACTTGTTCATTTCAATTTCTTTCCCACGAAACACCTGTTCATAAACACGATAGGCATTTCATTCTTCCTGGGAGTACAGCAGGGTCCTTGGTTCAATGGCAAGTGGAGTCACATTGGAGAGGAAAGCAGGAGGAAGGAGGAGGAGGAGGAGGAGGAGGAGGAGGAGGAGGAGGAGGAGAGGAGAAGGGGAGGAGGAGGGGAGGAGGAGGAGGAGGAGAAGGGGAGGAGGAGGAGGAGGAGAAGGGGAGGAGGAGGGGAGGAGAAGGGGAGGAAGAGGGGAGGAGGAGGAGGAGGGGGAAGCTGCTATACGGGTTGAGTACAGCAACTAGACCAATAGAAATAGATTCTCAAGTCATCTTAGCCCCCAAGGACTCTGCAAACTTTTAAAATCCAACTTACCTTTTTCCAAAACAGTTTGCCCAGAGGCAGAGAGGTGGGTCCTGACTTCTCCTTGCCGCCTTCCTTGGTGGTTTCAGGCCCAGTCGAGGGCTGCACGGCACCTGAAGGGCTGCAGCCTTTGGGGCTCCTGGCTGTCCCCGGCGTCTCCTGGGGTGTGAAGTTGGCTTTGTCTGACTTGAGGTTGGCCGAAGTGGTGGGTGACTTCTCAGCATCCTGAAGAGTTTTAACATAGGGGGTGGGGATTCAGAATGATTGGATTATTTCAAGAGTGAAAGATCTCTTCTTTGTACCCCTGGGCTCGGGTGGTACATAATGGTAATATTTTTTTTTCTTTATAATTTTCTGTATTTTCCAAATTTCAACTGTGAATATGAATCTGTGTTAAAAATCTCAAAGAAATTTGGGATATATATTTTTTTCTTTTGGAAAACAACCAGAGGATCATTCATGATGCTTCTGTGAGTGACTCTAGGGGGGGCGGGAAGGGACACTTTGCTGCTAGGATGTGGCGCTAGCTCCAAGTGCTTTTGATTATCTTCTCCTCGGGACACACTTCACGCACCCCAGCGCGTGCACATTTTTTGAGAAATATTCTATCATCATGTGTGGGTTTACTAATCCAAATGGAAAATTAAGGAAAGGTGATGATAAATATAGTTCCGATAGAACTTCTGAAATTCCTTCCCCATGTTCCACTTTGGAGATCACCATCCAGCTCTGAGGCATAAGGCAGCTGGACTGAGCTTGGTGAAGGGGTTTTGAACTGCATGTGTCCACGAAGGAATTCTTTGCTTTTAGGTTCAGCCCCATGCTCCAATGTCACTTCTTTTGTCCCAATTCCCTCTCTCCCTCCTACCCTCTTCCCCTTCCCCTCATCTCTCTCCCTTTCCCTCCTCCCTCCCTCTCCCTTTCCCTCCTCCCTCCCTCTCCTCCCTCTCTCTCCCCTTTCCTCCTCCCTCTTCCCTCTTCCTCTCTCTTCCCTCCCCTTACTCCCTCCTCCTCCTCCTTCCTCCCACTCTCTCCTCTCTTCTTGCTCATCTTCCTCGCACCCTCCCCATCTCTCTCTTTCTCCCCACGTGACTGTGCTAAAGTCTGGTCCTAAGACATCTGATATCTTCAGGGAGGTGGGATTAATTCCTATGCTCTGTCTCCTGTTGAGTCACTGGATAAAGAATGATGGTCACATTTTTTTTTTTCTGGACATGAGTGAATACTGGCATTAAAAACTCTAATACCAGGTTGATCTGACCTGACTTCTCCACCCTAAGCAGCTTCACTTTATGATTTTGGATCTGGGGCAATTTGTGATTCAACCCTCTTAAATTCCCAGGGCTGTCGTATCTTCAACTACATTTTCTGACTAAAAGAAAAAAATAATCTGGCGTTGAAAATGGGGTGTGGACAAATAAGGAAGTTTCATATTATTTTTGGTACTGGACAGAGTCTTAAAGTCCATCTGGCCCAGTATTTAAATTTTCAGATAAAGAAAGCGAAGCCCGAGATGCACTGGACCAGGTGTGTAGCCTGGCCTCATGTCTGGACTGCTGACCTCATCCCTGCACTCACACACAGCACCTGGGCTCCCTGAGGGTGTGTCCAGTAACACAAATTCACTCTCTGGTGCAGGATGTGACATCTCGCCCAGGTTCTGAGTTGTTTACTGAGCAAACTCTAAGATCAAATCAAGACAAAGGAGTGGAGCATAGAAATGGTAAGGGGATAACCCAGTTCCATTCAAGATACGCCAAGTGCATAATGCTAGAATTTAAAATAACTTCTGCATTTTACAGAGAGTGAACTCGTGATTACTATTCAGCATTAACAATGCTTCAAATGTGCTTGGGCCCCTGGTACTATTTTAGCCCTAAATGGCCATTAAATTCAAGGGGAAGCACCCACCCATCTCCTAAGCAGCTTGTTTTCTTTTTTTTCAGAAAAATATTAGGAAATATCATCTATTCATTGACAAACACATTCTGTAGCTTTCCACGAGCCATGGCGTAGGCGGAGTACCAGGGCTACGCGTCCTCTTGGAGAGAATGACAGTGAATAAATAATTCCACAGGTGTAAAATTTCAAGTGGGAAAAGTGCTGGAGGAGTAGGAGGATCGGTGCCACCAAAAGACAAAAGAAAGCACTTCCAAACACTTAAAGCAAGAATTGCAGCCCCATGTGACAACCAGGAGGGCTTTACTCAGGAAGGGAGGTGGCTGGAAATCACAGGGAGGAGCTGCCCTAGCCCCTCTGTCAAGGGGACCCCTTTTCTTGGGGGTGATCATCAAGATTGGACATTAACATGGTCTGTGGCCATGCAAAGGGTCCCAGAAATAAGCGGATTCACAGTGTGTCTGTGGTATTAAATTCCACGGGGAGAAGTGTGGTGAGGAGAGCTTGTCCAGAAGCCTTCACGCAGGAGCTGATGATGGGAGGGTGGCTGAGCAACACCTCTACCCCGAGGGGCTTCCCTGGGAGGTGCCCCTCTCCTCCTGCTGGGTGCACCCAGAGACCATGGGCATGATAGTAAAATGATCATTCTTTAACTTTTTCTTTTTTGGTACCTAGGATTGAATCCAGGGGCTCTTAACCACTGAGCCACATCCCCAGCCCTTTTTAATTTTGAGACAGTGTTTCGCTAAATTGTTAGGGCCTCGCTATGGTGCTGAGGTTGGCTTTGAACTTGTGATCCTCCTGCTTCAGCCTCCCAAGCCACTGTGATTACAGGCGTGCACCACTGTATCCGGTTGTAACATCACGCCCCTAATGCACTTGTGTAACTGTTGGTTGACTCTGCATCTCCCCTGATAGACTTTGAGCCCCTTGAGGGAGAGAAGTTCTTGATCTCTATGACACCCTAGCTCCCCTTGGGACCAAATCCTGGCACAAAACTGATGTTCACTCACTGACTAACTAAATGAAAGAGGCCAGAGAGAGGTACTCACAGGATGCTGCTGTATCCGGCTTCCTGACTCTAAAGTCCATTCATCTTTTCATCCCTGCCCACTCCTTTCCTTATGTCCCAAAGAAGTTCCTCAAACAGTGTCCATCCAAATGTTCATTAGCCAAATTAATAGTCTTTGTTTGCATTATGGGAGAGGCTACAAAAACTCTAACCATGATTTCAGAGGCAATTTCATGAATGGGGTTACCAGATTTAAAATTAAAATGAAAATATAGAATGCCCCATTAACTTTGAATTTCAGATCAGCAAAGAAAAAATTTCTAGCTTCAATATGTTCCCAATATCTTGCTGGACATATTTAAATTTATATAAAATGATTTATTATTTTTTTAAAATATGAAATTTGAATTTAATGGGACACTGCATTTTATCTGGTGACTGTACCCAGGAAACTCTAATGGATCAGATAGGAATATTACACATAAGTGGCCTTACCTTCTGAGCAGGTTTTCATGTCATTAACACATGGAGTATGGGAGAGAGGAGGTGTTAGGAAAACGGAGACTTTACAAAAACCAATGAGTGAGTGGCAGAGCATCACCTGAGCCTGCTGCCTCATTGAGGTGTCCCCGAGAAAGCCCAGGAGAGGGCCAGCGTTTCAGGCAGCACAAGAACATTTTAAAGCACACCTGCCTCGCATGCTTGGAGGACACAAGACGAAGTGTCACTCTGAGGCTTCCTGTGCAACAAAGGCAAAAACAAAGACTCCGATTCAGCAAAGGAAAGCTGATGCTTTGCTTTATTTTGGTTTAAAAGGAAAACCTCTGATTTATGAATTCCAGCTTCCCCATTTTTTTAACCTAGAAAATTCTTTTTTTTTTTTTTTTTTTTTTTTTTTTTTTTAAGGAAGGAAAATTGCACTGGAGAAATGAACACAGAAGTCAACCAGATTTCTCACAGCAAAACTAGAAGGTAGCACTTTCTCCTCTGATGCCTGGATTCCCCTTTTCTGCCTGAGGTCACTATCCCACRGAACCCCAGGGTACCGCTCCTCTGCTAATTAAGCAACGGGAGTCATGGATAGGACCCGGCTGGTCATTTAAATAACACCATTTTCTGTATACAACTGAATAATCAAAAGATGTAAAGAAATAATCTGTCCTAGATAGAGGTAATAGCCGAACTGCTGCATAAATGAGATCTCAGAACATTTGGGAATAGTTCCCTTACTTTATTTCACATTGACATAAAGAACACACTGGATGTAGCTCTAGGAGAGACCTTGAAGTCTGCATGTCTGTATTATGGGATCCATATAAAGGATGTCCTCTACATTTCCCCAGGGTCCTGAATCCTGTTTTTCTCCCCATTGTACCTCGGGGGCAGGATGCAAGGCCAACGACTCCAGGGAACCCTATAAATAACAACATTGAACTTGGACAGTCCACATATGGATAGACAGAGATCTGCACACAGTGAAGGCAAACGCAGTGCAGATMTGGCGAGGGAGACACACACTTCCTAAGCTTTCTACGAGAGTGCCACATTGGAGCTAAACCAGGTTCCGTGGCATGAAGCCCATGGTATGTTTCACTGGCCATTACTAAGCTCTCACATGCCCAAGTGGCCCCACCACCCTAATGTTCCCTCCCTCATTGCAATATCCATTGCTCCCTCTCTTTCTTTCTTTACTGAACAAAATAAGCCTGTCTGGAGACTGAAGGGTGGTTTCATAATGTGTTGGTTATGCAAATATAGATTCAGCTACAAGAACTTTCTGTGGGGCTTTTATTTGCACACACAATCAACCCTGGGACTATCATATCCAGCTGGGGAAGTTTTTTAATAAGTTCATTCAACTTGATGGAGAATGGTTGATATTTTAAAGAAATTTCCAAGCTTGAGGACCCAATTCAGAGATCTTTTTAATTGATGGTTTCAGGCACACACCGGCATATTCTTGGACATTAGAAGAGTAACATCTCCAAAACTGGCTTCATATTATCCCGATTCCACCTCCCCCCACCACACACATGGAGAAATAACTCGCTCTGCCTTCATTCATTGCTTTTGTTTTTTTCTTGCTTGGGCTTTTATGTGAATTCAGTGTAAACTTTGTTAATACTGGAAATGGATGGAACAGACACACAAAGGTGAAATTGTTATCTTCAGGTTAGAAGAGTGTTTCCCAAAATGCAGGCAGCCTACCACTGCAGGGCCAGAGGTGACATCAGGTTGCATGGAAAGACGATATTCAACAGCATTCAGACCGTGAAAATACTTTTCAAACTTTCATATCATCTAATAACAGTCCAGGGAAAGACAGGCTCAGCCTGGTACTGGTGTGGCCTTAATATTCTACACCACTGGCCAGTGGCTTTCTAGTAAAGCTAGTGAGGGCACTGTGCTAGAGCTTCATGCAAACGAGGCAGCATGAAGTCAGGATCCTTTCATGAACCTTATTAAAGGTTACCCTCCTCTTTGGAGAAGATTCTGGTTCTCATGTATAATGGAAGTCAAAGTTTCTTTTTAAGATACATTTCATTGGACATGGTCAATTTCTATATAAAAATATCAAGTGATTAATATGACCTCCAACAAAAGTGGCCAACACGGTTTGCATGTGACTGGCGTTTGGGAAACACTGGGTGAGAGTAACTGCAGAACCCTGGTCCACTCTCAGAAAACCCCCCACCTGCGCGATATTGAGAGCTATGGCAACTTGACACCATTCACTGATGTTGAGTCACGTCATTTCCAATCTCCCTTTAATGATCTCAGCCTCAGGAGGCTCTGTCTTCACTAAGGCACAGGTGGCAGGCACAGGGCCCGTGTGGCAGGCACAGGGCCCGTGTGCCTGGCACGGTGAGGACCAGGGTTCTTCTTTCTGCTAGTTTAACGGGATACAGACCTTATGTCTAAGCAATTTCCTAAAGGCGAGGCCCAGCCGGGGGCTCTCCAGGTGCTTCTTCTTGCTGCCCTTCGCCTGGGTCTCAGATGTCTTCTGACCCACTTGCCCATCGCAGACGCTTTCTGCTTTGGAAGCCTTGCGGGCAACAGCAGTTGCAGCTTAGAATTTTGCTTTTAAACAAAATCTAGTTTTCTGTTGTTTTGAGGTGCATGAATACACTGTGACAGTTAGCTGCTGGCATGTTACTGCCATCTCCCACCCATAAGACACAAGAACATTATCTTTTTAAGATGCTTTGGTAAAGAGCATATTCACAGACAATTTCAGGCACATATTGCTTTTCAACAGAGTGACCTATTTAAATGACCCAGATTAACACATCTCCAAAAAACCCTACAACCAAAACTAAACTACCCACTCCCCACCCTGTCCATATTCGCTAAAGACAGTAGTAGGGTAATTCGACTGTAAAATATCAAATGAAAAGTACATAATTAAAAAAGATAACATAGTCTATTTAATAGTGTTAAATATCTAAATGCTACTGTCACATGGGAAGGACTAAAATAGTCCTGCTGCAGCTACTGGACACGTTTGACTCCAGCTGCAAGCGGCGTGAGAGTTTCTGTGAGTACTTAGTGTGCTGAGAATCACCCGGAACCAAATGGGACAAGGTTACACACCTTTCAAAGGCACAAATTCAAGAACTAGAGTAGAAAAAGATGTCAGGATCACACCAGTGTCGAGTTGCGAAACTTGAGCTCTAGGAGGTCTTCTGAGGCCAGACCTCGCACACCTTGTCACGGCTTAGGTAAGAGAATAAGGTTTTGGGAAATAGGTCTAATTGTGGGTGTCATGGACAACCCAGATGAAAGGCCCTTATCTGAGACCCAGGTGAGCAGCAGGGACCCCACAGTCTTCTGGGGAAGACCATAAGATCTKATCAGCCAGACATATTTGGTTGGGAGCACATCTGGGTCACAGAAGGGTCTTGGTACATGAGCAGCTGAAGAGAAGGAGTGTCCCAGGTCACTTGGGGAGCCACACAACACACCCACATTCCCCATTGTTTATGGCCACTGTTCTGACTATGTCGCTTCAAACAAAGCAAAACACAGAACCCAAAGAGAAACAACTGACCCAATCATTCATTGAACTTGACCCTAGCTGCCTTGTAGGAAATGAGTAATTTTAAGGAAAATGCATATAGATAGATGCCTTGGAAATCTACTTTYCAATGGGATAAGGAGGAACTCAATGAGTATAAATCAAATGTAATCACGCCGTCCAACCTGGCTTGGATGTGACATGGAAGCAGGGGTCACCAACATCTGAATAGAGCTCTGCCCTATCACACCTTCTCTCAGTTCCGGGGGCTGGGAGAAAGTTTGACTGTCCCAGTTTTACAGATGTGGAGACTTGATCCAGACAGGTCAGGATCACACCAGTATCTAGTTGCGAAATCTGAGCTCTAAGAGGTCTTCTGAGGCCAGACCTCGCACGCCTTGTCACGGCTTAGCTCTTCGGGATATAAGCAACAGATGTAGCAGGGGGGCTAAGTCATTTATTTCATCCCAGTATCTTTCAAAGGACACAAGACAGTTATCTGTTACCAAGTTAACCTTCCCTGGAGGCTCTTCATGAAATTTAAACCATGTGCTCCGCCAGAGGCGACCTGTGCTGTCAAGTGCAATGGGAAAACACCTCTAAGAAAATACTGGCTCAGGTCACATTTATTTTGAGGAGAACTGGTTGAATTTCTAGAGAGACAGTGGAAACTCCAGCCTCCCCACTCCTACCTACATGGCTTTCCACTTGGCCTATGTCCCGTGGCTAGTATAGTATTTCAAAATGGTCTTTGCAGGAGAGATTTATTTTTTTTTGAAACAAAGAACACATTTTTTTAAAAACAAAAAACAAAACTCTGCATCTTTCTCCTACTTTAATGGGGCATTTTAAAACTATATTCCCTGGGTCTCTACACATAACAAAAAAGACAAAGATGATGGTATAATTTTTAGTATTCGGCTCTTATTCTACATAAKAAATTGGTTATTCCCGCCATTATGTACAACTCTAATGCACCAATAGAAATGTGGGGGGAGAAAGAAATTGGTTATTGTGATATTATTTAACCAACATTGGAATATGATTTAAGTTACTCACTACATTTTCATTATAATACCATTAACCTAAATGAAATATTTAAAAGACAATCCAACAGCACTAAGTTGCTAACTATGTATGTCCATATATGTGTCTCTACATATATAAAACATATAAAGGACACGCACTTCATACAGAAAACAAATAAGCAGACTCCCTCTAAATCCAATTCTGTGCACAAACCCATACTTCAAAGGACCTACCGTATCTTCTGGATCTTTTTTAGTTTCAGCTTTGTTAGGTGACACCTTAAAAGTTTGAGAAAATCAAATGTTAGAAATCATAGCTCTTTAGGGTGATTTTTATTTCATAATTACATCACTGTTTAGAGTGGTCCAGTTTACTAACACTGGCAAAGCAAGAAATAAGAAGCACTTTTAGTTCAGTAGAAACCCAAGGACCTCTGGGTAATAAAAAGCTCACCAAATTATTATTTAATAATGAAATGCATCAGATTATTTTCATTTACCACAAGTTTGACCACTATCAAAATTGTCTCCTGGAAGGCCCAGTTCCCACCGACTCCACTATTACTCTACAAGCAGGGCAACCCTGTGGTGCTAGGGGCACATTCTGTGGACTTTTTCTTCATTTTATCTTTTGAAGCTAGTCTTGATATCTGCAGATAGCCCAAACACTTTTGTGGCTGTTCTTATTTTTGTATGCATCAAGCCATTCAGCTCTTCTTTGAGTGTCTGGCATATGGCAAGCTAGAGGGTTTTGCCCTGGGGTGGTCAGAAATGAGCAAGCAAAGCAAAGACATGGTCCRTGTCCCCATCTAATGAAATAGGGAAAGGTAGATATCACAAGATGGACAGCAATTTCTACAGCATTTTACTTGCCATTTGAGTGAGAAAATTACTTTGATAGGCCAACAGCTCAAGGCAGTATTTTCCGATATTGTTTATGATCAATGACCATAAGACATTCAATTGCAATAGGATTCTATTACAGTACAGCTCATGTCACATGGTCTGGGCACCTAGTGTCCATGTCATGGCTCCCAACTCCAAGGGCTCTCTCCCTGGGAGACTGATGAACACCTTCCCACAGGAGGCACTTTGTCCCCGTTGTCTCATGTTCCAGCTGGGCCAGGATGGTAATCCATTCAGGACAGCAGCATTCAAAGATGCATTGTTCTTACAAGTAGCACAACTTTTGGGCAATAGAAATGGGGAAAGAAAGGAAACTACTCACCAGAGTTTTGAAGAAACTCATGATGGAATTGTTACTCTCTGTTGTATTTGTTGCCTGGGAGTCGTCCTTTGCAATCTCCAGTCCTTCTGGGTCCCCAGGGACAGAGCAATTCAAAGTTTCAACCTCTTGTCCTTCTGTTTCCTTGCTGTCAACTAGGTCCTAGGAGCAAAACAGAGTTTTCACAGCTGCGACTTGTTGAATGTGGACTCTCAAAGCAATTCCTTTTCTCCCTTACCCCCAATTCCAGCCATACTTCTTCTGCCCACGGGCGTACAGAACAATCAGGAGCTTATGAGAGTCCCTCTTCCTTCCCTTCCCCCTCTTCCCAACATATTCAGCATTTGCAGTTGGTTGGAGGGACACTGTTTGGTGCCAGAGGGTAATGAACACAGCAGTGTATGGTGCATTCCAACAAAAACCCTTTACTCCCAGTTTCTGCAAAGAGACTGTGTAAGATGCTAATGTTTTCCACCACCTTCCTGGTCACCTTGACTAATGATTTGTACATCAGCCCCAGAGATGGCTCTGTCTGACTTCCCACAACCTTCGCAGTAATGAATCATATCAACCAAAGGAAAGAAAAAAACAACCAACCCTGGTGTTTCAAAACAACTGTTCTGCTTTGCAAATCTGGGAGTTTATCGGTGCCAGGGATGTGACATGCAAACAAATTTTCTCCTCTGACTTGCTAGGGAGGTAGGATGCATTCTGAACCTGACTTCCTTGGCCCTTTGCACCTCCCCAACCCGGGGCAAGACCCTGTCATCTCTCTGCCTTATGATTGCCAAGGCCCCCAGCCCTGTTTGCTTGGGCTCTGAGTGCCCTCAATCCATTCTACGCATCCCAGGCCCCATCTTCCAGTCCTTCCCTGCTCCAGTGGCCTCCCCTGGCTTGGGAGTTGGCCCATACTCTGACACAGCCTCCTGGACATCTTAAGTTGTGGTGCACACCAGAGCCCACCCCCCTCACTAGCTGCTGCTTTTCCCTCCCCATTTATTTTGAATGAATTCTCTTGGAGTTTCTCAAACATACTTGTCATGGTTAAGTTGAATTGTCAACTTGATTGGATTAAAATATACTGAAGATTAAAAGGCTTCTGGGCGTGTCGATGGGGGTGTGTCTAGGAATGATTGGCCTGTGGGATAGCAAACTGAAGTGGAGATCCTCCCTAAGTGTGGGCAGCACTGTCCAATAGGAAGGTGGCTTGGATGGAAAAAAAGTTGGAAAAACAAGGAAGCAGCAGCAGATGCAAGCTCAATTTTTCTTGAACAGGTTCGTGATTGCTCCTGTCATCACTTGAGGACATCAGACTTGCTCCTTCACTCTTCCAAAGCGGACTCTGCCAGGTCTAGGACTAGGAGAGCACTGTTGTTTCTTCTTGTCTGAGACTTTAGCCTCTTGGACTGGTTCCTCCCTGTCTCCGGCCTGCAGATGGCCATTGTGAACTCTCCAGCTTCTGGACTGTAGGCTAATCTAATAATTTTTTTTTATAATCATACTTCCTGTTAATTCTGCTCCTCTGAGAACCCTAACACAATACTACAAGCAATTTCCAACTTCACGGCTCTTTGTCTRGAACATTCTGTCCCTCTGTGTGCCTGTCAGTAATTCACATTCATCCTTCAAGTCTTAAGTGTCTCCTTTCTGGGAGTCCACTCCTAAAGAGCCGTCTTAAGCTCTCCTTTGYTCATGCTCACTGTCTTCTGCCTTCTCCACCTTTGCTGTTGGCATCATTGCTTACAAGATCAGCAACACCCCATCCACCATATCATGCCAGAAGGGAGGTGCAACAGAGACAGGGATGTCTCAGGTATTGAAGGCAGCAGGGCACAGAAAAGTCATTTTATTAATATGTACTATTTGACTTCTGAATAAACAAATGGAAGAAATGGAAATTTTGCATAAATGAGAGGGGCTCTCAGTATCAACTTGCTTGTGTAATAACAGAGCAGAGGCTGTTGCATCGTTTCTTTCTTTCTTCTTCTTCTTTTTTTTTTTTTGTGGTGCTGGGGATTGAACCCATGGCCTTGTGCACGTGAGGCAAGCACTCTACTAACTGAGCTATAGCCCCAGCCCCCATTGCCTCCTTCCTGTGCGCCTCCAGTGGTTTTCATTCCCCGGTTTGGTTGGCCTTATTGCTGGGCATTTTCAGGATTCACAGTTTCACATCTGGGGTATCAGAGGCTGTACTATTGGCATCTTTCACTTTTAATTTTAATCCCTCCTGTGTATCTTTTCTTTGAACAAATGGCCCAAAGTGAAATTTCTGCATCCAGAGGCATGCAAATTTTATAACTTGATAAATACTCTTGCAAAAAATATCGTAGGATTTCACTAGGAAGATTTCCTACTGGTATGTGTCTGCATCTGATTATCTGTCTGGTGCAATAGTAGGGGTGGCAGTGATACCTCAAACATGTCCAGGGCAGGCGGGGCCACCCTGGGGGCTGTGGTCATGCAGTGAAGCTTGGTCAGCAGGTGGGTAGAGTGAGGGAGGCCAACTCCACTCTTTCCTGGCCTGAGCATCCTCTCCCTTCCACCCCTGTGCAGTCCTGTCCTTCATCCCAAGGCCTTGAGCTTCTGGCCTCCCCAAGCCATGCCCTGCCGCCATTGCTGTTGGTTCCCTAATTTCCAGGAGAATGGAAGGGAAGCCCTTTGTTTCTACGTGGGGACTTCTAACAGTGCTCAGCGTGTGAGGTGAAAAGCCCATGGAAGACCTGGCATCTCTGTCTATGTTGACTACTTCCTCCAACGGTGGAGAGTGGAGTGGGGCAGCTCTGCCCAGTATCCCAGTGTTATACTTCCTGGAAGATTCTGGAAACTCCATGTAAGCTGATATGGTTGACTATCCAACCAGCAAAAACAATTAAATTCAAAGCAATTTCAAATTATGAAGCACTGCATGTGTCCTCTAGTTTCTGAGCTAGTATGATTCAAATATGATTATCTAATCTTAATATATTATTATATATTATAGAATAATATGCATTTTCAAATATTTTGCATTCACAACACCCACTGTACAAAATGCAAGCCACTGTACAAAAAATGCATTAAACACAAGTTATTTAATCTTTACAACTATTTTCTGAGATAAATGTTACAATTTACAGTTTTTCCAACAATGACGTGAAGCTCAGAGAGGTTCGACAACTTGTCTGAGAGGAGAATGTGGGAATTCTGACTCAGGACTGATGGAACTGGACGTCTGAAATATTACCATCCATCTTCCCCTGCATGCCAACGTGGCAAAATTTAAGTAGCAAAGCAGTCATCTTCAATGTCATGCTGGGAAACTGAGATTCTCATAAAGCGTGTATATAAGTATCTACTAAATCCATAAATTCTCAGAAGATCTTTCAAAGCTTAAGTCTCCCAAGAAGTACAGCACTTAGAATGGTGCACACCCCATTGCCTGTATTTCTTGAACAGTGCTTCTTTATGAAGCATTGCAGAGTCTTAGTTATCAGGTGCCTTCTGGAATCTGCTACGTCCTTTAATCTCTGCAGAGACGGTGAAGAGCATTTCACAGATGAGGAAACTGGAGCCCAAAGAGGAGTAAGAGCATGTCCAAGGCCACACTCCTAGCAGGTACAATTGGTGGTGACTGTGGTCCTGCCTGTCCAACACTCTTTACTCCTTGTGACTACAGGACTCTGCTCATCCCTAGGGAGCGGTCCCCATTCATCCCCATCCACAYCTGTGCTGACCTGTGTTCTTCCCTGGTCTGAGATGGCCTCAGCCTTCTTGCAGCTCTTCAAACACTACAAACAGGCTCCTGCCTCAGTGCCTGTGCATCTGAGTTTCYGCCTGCCCTGTATCTGAGCACTCCATCTCACGTCCTTCAAGTCCTTCCCAAATGTCACGTTTTTCTTGAGGACTCTCCTCACCTTCTACCTTAAATAGCCACAGCTCCTTCCCAGAATGCCCTGTTGGTGCTCACAGTCTTATTTTTCTTCTCCTGGCAAAGTTCACTTCTAATGGGTCACTGGTTCCCCTCCTCCAGGGGACATGTGGCAGTGTTGGTGATGTTGGTTGTCACAGCTGCATGGTGCAGCGACTGTACTGTATATAATATTCACCTGCTTATTTTGGTTTTGGRGTTTTTTTCCAGAGTAGAAAAACAATGAAGGTGGGCGTTTTGTTCCTTTTCTCCCCTGTATTTCTCCTGCACCTGGCAGATGCTCAGTAACTAGAAATGGACGAATGATGCTAATGAAACTAGCAACCTTCAGCTTTTATCATTACATCTTCAGATATCCTGTCTTCTCCTTTCCCCTCTCCTTCAGGGACTCCAAGTGCTCATATTCTCGTCGCCGTGGAGTCACCGTCCAGCATATTGATGTCTCTTTCTTCTTGGAATTCTTCTCCCCTGTTTGCTTGTGGACAGCGCCCACAGCTGCGTCTCCAACTCCTCTAATCTGCGTTCTCCCCTCTGCTGGGAGTCTCATCCGTGGATTTCCACTTCATACTCTGTAGCTTTCATCTCTAGACGTCTGATTTTGTTTTTTTTTAAAAATATATCTTCTGTGCCTCTATTCAACGTTTTTAAACACACAGAACCCATTTATCCTTTTCTTCCAGTTCTAACACCTGAGCCAGTTCTTGGTTGGTTTCCRCTGACTTTTTCTCACATCAGGAGACATTTTCCTGCTTCCCTGATATTTTTTGGCGGGTTCCAGACAATGAGCATCTCCCCTGACCAGGCTCTGAATATTATTGGTATTTCTATAAACATCTTGGGCTTTGTGCTAGATATGATTAAAATACTTGAAAAGAGCTGATTCTTTCAGTCCTTGCATTTCAGATCTGTCAGGCAGGACCAACGCCCCACGGGGTGTAGAGAGGGCATTTCCCCGGGTGAGGATGGGTTACCCTGAAGACTCTGACCCAGACCTGGTGAGGAACTCGGCTCCCTGGCCTGGCCCTGCACAAGATGGAGAGAGGACTTCCACTTGGGGCCTTTGCACCTGCATTAGCTTCCTCATGTGAGCATCATCCCAGGAACTACCAAGAGCTTGGTCTCGGGGGCTGGGCTCCTCTGGCAGTGAGTAGGGGTGGTCATGGCACACGTCTGGTTCCCCGTTTCCCAGAGATCACTGGCGCCTGGTGCCTGATATCCAGTGTCTTGGAAGCTGTAGTTGGGTTCCAGTTTCATC